TTATTGCTTCGTGTAATCCCCGACCAAAAAACAAGCTGAAGGAGATCCTGACACACAAACATTCTGACGTATATTCTGGCATGTATTCTGATACGGCAATCTGACAAAATTTCAGACATATATTTTGCAGTATGTTCTGCTATCTATCCTGACATGGTTCTGAAATATTGTCTCTCATGTACTCTGACATTTAATTTATCCTGGCACACAACTTTGACGTATAGTCCAACATAGATTCTGGCAAATATTTTACACTTTTATCCTGGCATATTCTCTGAGACACAGCTTGGCATACATTCTTACATACAGTATAAATCTGACACTTTGTCTGGTATACAGTCTCACTAACATATAGTTGCATATATATATATGTGTATATATATATATACGTACGATATATATATATATATACATACATACATAAATCTGACATGTATTCCGACATTTGTTCTGAAATATGTTTGGGATTGTTTGGGTAATTCAATATAGCTATGGAAAATCACCATTTTCTCCATGTTAAATTGCCATGTTGGGTATACTCGGCATCAAAAGTGACTCGAGAAATAGCCGTGGTTTCTCCGAAAACGATTTATTATGGTGACGTCGGCCAGTAGGGTCCTCATATGTCATACAATGTTCCCCCTTTTGATGCACACTCCCAACAACCTGATTTAGCAGCTAGTCATTGAGGTGTGGGATGGATTAGCGGAGTGGATTTAATGACTCAGATAAGGTACAGGGAAAAGACCATGTCAAAACATGTCAAAACATGTCAAAATTAAGTCATGCTTAGCGTATTCAAAAACAAGGCTACGGCGCGGTTAGCGACCCGGGGTAATTCATTGATTTTTCATGATGCTTGGTTCACCAAATCATGGTATTTGCAATGTGTTGTAAAAACGTGATAAAAATGTCAAATCGTAGTTACTTTGGGGCCTACTACAAAAAGTGCGTTTCGTGTGAAACGTTCATCGATTTTCAATACCCCTGAAACGAATTATCGTTTTTTTCGTTTTGTTGGAGAAAATTAGTTACATCTGACCACAAGTCATTGAGCAACACTTCTTTTTCAACTTACCTTGCAAGGTCTTCAGCGTCGACTCTTTTTGGCCAGCTTTCCCAGTTCCTTCCGCAGGTTATGACCTGAGTTGTGTCTGTACATGAAGGCTTTAATCTGGTCCAGCAAGCGCCGGTCGACACGGCGATCTAACTTCCCGCGAGTTCGCAGGTTGGAAACAACGAATTGTTTGAGAATTTTCCAAAAGCTATCCAACAGCTGGGTTCCTGTAAAGAATCTTTTCCTAGGAACCTTCTTCACAAACTGCATTCGACAGGAAAACTGAAAACCGGCCTTTTTGGCCTCCGCCTTCCACCCCAACCCAGTGACATGACGTCAGTTGTGCATGTGACGCAAGTTAACATGAACGTTAACATCCCCACCCCACCCCAACCCAGTGACGTGACGTCAGTTGTGCATGGGACGCAAGTTAACATGAACGTTAACATCCCCACCCCACCCCAACCCAGTGACGTGACGTCAGTTGTGCATGTGACGCAAGTTAACATGAACGTTAACATCCCCACCCCACCCCAACCCAGTGACGTGACGTCAGTTGTGCATGTGACGCAAGTTAACATGAACGTTAACATCCCCACCCCACCCCAACCCAGTGACGTGACGTCAGTTGTGCATGTGACGCAAGTTAACATGAACGTTAACATCCCCACCCCACCCCAACCCAGTGACGTGACGTCAGTTGTGCATGTGACGCAAGTTAACATGAACGTTAACATCCCCGCCCCCCCCCAACCCAGTGACGTGACGTCAGTTGTGCATGTGACGCAAGTTAACATGAACGTTAACATCCCCACCCCACCCCAACCCAGTGACGTGACGTCAGTTGTGCATGTGACGCAAGTTAACATGAACGTTAACATCCCCACCCCACCCCAACCCAGTGACGTGACATCAGTTCTGCATGCATCAATTTCAAGAGCAACTTGCCTCCAATCAGCAAAAATGGCAAAAACGCAGGGGTCGTTAATGGCGCCGTAGGCAAAAACAAGTAAGAAGCAAGAAAAAAAATGGACACTCCACAACAGGATCATCTGCGAGCAATACTACTCGAACATCCAAACCAATCAAGTCACAAACTAAATGCTGTCTTACATTTTACTCATCAACATACCCCACACATAGAAAGTCGCATGGTAATAATGATGAGAAACATAATCCCTTAAGAAAAGGGATTGCATATACAGACTCGGCAGACGTGTCCGAAACACTCCCACCGAAGAACTGCTTTCTCCCAAAACAGGAACCACTTTGTCAAATGTCATTCCTTCAGGTAAACGTGCACAATTAAATCTATGTTTTCCCCAGAAAATCATGCCCAAAACCATGGATGTTTTACCCGGCTTCGTCCAAACAATATTATATTCGTCGATTTGAACAGAAAACATGTTTGGGATACATATCCAAATATACATATATATATATATATGCGTATATATAATTCTATTGTGTATGTATATATATATAGTTCTATATATATATAGTTATATATATATATAGTTATTTATATATATAGTCGTTCTATAAGTAATTCTGTATATATAAATATATATGTATACATATATATATATGTATTGAGTTATATACATAGAATTCTATGTGTATCCTGTGTATTTGATTATGTGTATATATACTGTAATTACACATAATATATATATAATATATATATATATACACCGGGTCCTTTTACCGTGGAAGTCAGGATGGAAAAACCTGTCGGTTTACATGGAAGTCGTTTACGTCCAATTCCTGGGGAAAAAGTGAAACTGGGCTACCGGGCCAGCAAATGCAGAAAAACTGACCGTGAATCTCTTACATGGAAGTAGCTCATCAGATATGTCAGTAACATATTCATCATGGAAGTGTGAAAACTGAGACTAAAAACCCTTACGTGGAAGTAACTTGAGGGTCCAGACATCAGGTTGGCAACTTCTATGTTAACATGTTCTCCCCTCATGTTGAATACATCCTTCTAGGGCGATCCCTAAAACCCCCAGACTGACCGCCACATCATTTTTTTCATCTTTGCATCTATCTTCTCACCCCTGTCATGTCCGAGCGATTGAGGATGCAACCTTTCGAAATCAATGGTGCCAAATTGGCGCTCGCTAACATGGCACTGCCCACATCCTACTTCAAGTAGCAAATTTCTGTGAAAGCTATTCGTTGGTTAAAAATGGAGGCATTCCCAGCTTTAGCTTGAAAAAATCAAAATTTCTACGTTAATCAACAAATGCCCAGGATTCCCGGGGAACTCGTGGCAAAAAGAACTAGCCAAAAAAAAAAGGGTTCAGATCCAAAGAACACAAATTTGCAGTTTACCCCCCCCATTGCAACTAACATGGAAGGAAACCTCCGAATTGTCACTTTAGTTAACGTGGAAGATTTTTTTTTGCACTACGGTAAAAGGAGGACCGAGCGCTCGCTAACATGGCACTGCCCACATCCTACTTCAAGTAGCAAATTTCTATGTAAGTTATCCGTTCCAATCGTTGGTTGTTAAAAAATGGAGGCATTCCCAGCTTTGTCTTAAAAAATTCAAAATTTCTACGTTAATCAACAAATGCCCAGGATTCCCGGGGAACTCGTGGCAAAAAGAACTAGCCAAAAAAAAAAGGCCTCAGATCCAAAGAACACAAATTTGCAGTTTACCCCCCCCATTGCAACTAACATGGAAGGAAACCTCCGAATTGTCACTTTAGTTAACGTGGAAGAAAAAAAATAGTATATTTTTTTTGCGCTACGGTAAAAGGAGGGGGAGTATATATATATACGCAAGGGGACTGAGGTTCTCCGATGCCATCAGCTGTGTTTGAGTGTCAACATGTAAAAAAACAGCTGGCGCCTAGGTAATTTGCATTTTTTTCAATAGTGGCAACGTCCTTTTCAGCATCATGTTGAACGGATCATTTTTGTTTCGTCCGTTTTAAAGCAGAGTCATCTTGTGCCATAAATCATGTTCTCAGAAGTCAGAAATCGCATATTTTGGTGTAAAATTGTGAATTTTCATCGTATAGTCATGGCGTGGTCATGTAAAATTGAGCAACTGTACTGTGTTTTCTCAGGCATTTTGCGTCATGCTACTTTTGCACTGTTATTTGCAATGAATTGGCAATGTGTAGAAAATTGCAAGTGCTGACAGTCAGGCGATTTTTGTGTTTTCCCACATGAACATGAACATGAACATGACGGTAACATGCCCCCCCCCCCCCACCCCCCATCAACGTAGAATCAACGTAACATGAACATGACGGTAACATGCCCCACCCCACCCCACCCTCCCATCAACGTAGCATCAACGTAAATGAACATGACGGTAACATGCCCCACCCCACCCCACCCCTCCCATCAACGTAGCATCAACGTAACATGAACATGACGGTAACATGCCCCACCCCACCCCACCCTCCCATCAAAGCATCTCGTAGCATCATAACATGAACATGACGGTAACATGCCCCACCCCACCCCACCCCTCCCATCAACGTAGCATCAACGTAACATGAACATGACGGTAACATGCCCCACCCCCCCCCACCCCACCGCTTCTCCATCGGAGAACCCCAGGCCCCTCGGGTATGTATATATATATATACACGGTTGTTGATCAAAATTCCTTTATCTGGAAACGGCCATTCTTCGCAAATAAAAATGTTACTTTCGCGAAACTTTCGCGAACTCAATGTTTATCTTTCGCGGAACCTATGTTAGGCAATCATGATATCCAACTTTCGCGAAACTTTCGCGAAAAAAAAAAATGTTACTTTCGCGAACTCAAAAAAAAAACTTTCGCGAGGGTTTCCAACATAACATGCACGGCTTTCGCAATTAAAACTCCTTACAAGGACCTTTAGATCGACCACCATACATACTTATGGTATCTTATGGATTCTTATGGTGTTTTATTGGAGGCTACATGTGGCACTTGCTCTCGGAAATCCCCAGCCTTGCTCTCAGGTTTGGCCTTTGCCTTCGGGGCCTTTGGGGCCTTTGGGGCCTTTGGGGCCTGTGGGGCCTGTGGGGCCTGTGGGGCCTGTGGGGCCTGTGGGGCCTTCGGCTCACGCGTCCTGGCGCCGAGGTTTACGAATTGCTTCAGAGTTGGTGATATCCAAGAGTTGGTCATGATAACTGAATCAACTTTGGTAATACCATTATCTCACCATTACATCACCATTATCTCACCATTATATCACCATGATATGGGGATTGGTTACCACCTATTACATCTACCATATCAATGGACATGACTCAGGAACCGATTGATTGGAGCTGCCTACCATATATCAGGTCTATGTAATTTGTAAGGGCCTTGCAGGGGGACATTTTTGGGGATTTTCCGGGGGATATACCTCCAAAATATGGCTGAAAATCTTCACGCTATAATGCGCTATACCTCCAATGAACCTGAAATGGCCGTTGACATGACTAGTTTGCCTAACTTTGGGGCCCTACTAAGAAGGGATATCCAGTAGATTCAGTATATCCAAAAGTTGCCAATGACAACTAACCAACTTTGGTACTACCACTGATGAGTGAAATAAAGTAAGCAATGATGACTAACCAACTTTACCAAGATTAATTTTTAGTTGATGAGATTTAGGGACTTTACCGAATATTGGCGATTTCGATTCAGAGTTTAGTTAGGTAATGTTAGGTACCACATTTTTTTGCTAATTTGGAGGCGCAGTTCCACTTAAGTGGGTGGCCTACCACAAATCCAATCGCTAAGCAATTTGAAAACTTCGGTAAGTAGGCACCACATTGTATCAGTCGATATCAGTCGTATATTAATCATTATTAAGTCTCATCTATCTTCCATCATCGTAATGTCAGACTGATGTTTGGCTATTGTGATTAGTTGTGATGTTTGGGCTTTCACCGAAGGTGATGCCTAGCCCATAACGCGGAGAGATCCATGCGACCACCAATTGGGTATATGAGCTGGTGTTTAAACTGTTTAAGTCATGTCAAGATATCGTTACATTATTTTAAAAAAAAACTGCATCATTTGACAAAAGAAAACCTTTGAAAACATTGGTAAGTACATGTAACTACCAACTATTTCTCCTATATCGAACCACCCAGTTGGTGGTACGAGAATAAAATATAAAATCATACATTTAATCAACGTGTTCATCATTTGGTTGTATAGGCAATACAACTTGTAAAACCATCAACTAGTTGTATCAACCAACCATGAATCGATGTCGAAATCACAAGATTAAGAATTGGGATTTAGCGACTCGGAATATGTCAAAATGTGATGATTCAACAAATGGAGGCAAAAGGAAACCACCTTGAAAATACGGGGGCCTGACTTGACTTGAATTCACCAGAAGCTGCGGACAATTCACCCCCTCATCATTCTGAAAAACCGTCCATGTGCCCAAGGATGTCCCACCTATGGAGATCCAGTAAAGCGGCCGATTTTGAAGATTTTGTTGGGAACATGTTTCTTAACATGTTATATTAACAAATATTATACAATTAGATAAATATATGATAGAGCCACCTTTTTAAAGACACGGTGCTCAAGTTCAATGCTCAAATTGTCTGAGAGGACACGAATATCTTCATCCCCGCCCTCTCCAGCCTTTGGCTCTTGGGCATCTGAATCCAGGTAGAGGTGGCGATCAGCCGGCCCCCGCGGGCACCAGCAGTAGGCTTGGAGGTTGCGCGAGCAGGGGTGGGTCGGGGGGTGGGTCGGAGGGCGGCTCGGGTGGCCGCAGTGGCCGGGCGCGCGGCTGCCTTGGAAGGTACTCGAGGGCTGGCAACAATGGATTGGTTTCTCGGTCAAATCGCCTTTTTTTCGTGAAAATACTGATCAACCGATTCTTCAAGTTCTGGGGATAAATTTATATAAATTTCATAAATGTCCATATTTTTCTTCGGTGATTTCAAGTAATATCCCCATTTTATCTAAGCTAAATACCATACAGAACTGCTGCTGCCATGGCTCCCCTGAAACCGGCAAAGGATGCAGGTCGCGGAAGCGAATGCCGCCTTTCGCCAGCTCCTGTTTTAGCCAGTTACGAATGGGATTTAGCCCATTGAGTTATGGTGGGAAAATTGGGATTTAATGGGATTTTATGGGATTTTATGGTGGTTTTATGGGATTTAATAGGTTTTACCCTTTAAATTGGTTAATGTTAGTAAGTGAGTTAGGTTCGCCCCAGTGAATGAAAATTTTCCAGCACATTGCCCTGCGCTACTTGTGACTGGGGTGGCCTGACCCACTTATGATTTCTGGAATGAACCACCAAATGGTTATTTGATTTTTTGGGGGTGGGATTATTGTTGTAATAACCCGAGCAGTTAAAATAACACCCCTACATTGACCCATCAACAGTGGTATGTTTGATTATGTTTGATGTTTCAAACGATGATCTTTGAAATAACAAGCTTCAAACATGTTGTTGGTCAACCACATCTGCTACTGGTTATCGTTCATTAAAAAATCACGTGCATCATGTGGTTTCCGTTTAAACAAAAAAACTCCAAATGGAGGCTTCATCCTCAAGCACAATAGTTGTTTTCCACAAAAAACACATATTCAACCAATCAAAACCGGGGCACAGCATTGGTTTCAAGGACAACAAAAAAGTACAGTAAATCCGACAAAACGCACAATTCCACATAACATCATATGTAATATAATATCATATATTTATATAATTCATGACATCGTAAAACCCCAGTGAGACCTACTGACCTACTGGCTAAGAATCTGGACCGATGTGGATGCCATCATGGCTCATCCCAAATAGTGGTTCTGTACCCACTCTCAGCTGTTTTCTGATTGCTGAACTTCCATACTTCATATCCAAGTCTCCGCATTTTTTTTCAAAGGTTCCATGACCCGTCTGTGTGTGTGTGCGCGTCGGAAAATGGGATATACCCAGTATGTATATATATATACACACATATAACATTATATAATAACCATGAAATAATAGGGAACATAACTGTACAATACTGTACATAATTCATGTCTAAACCATCAACTTTTTGGCCAAAACGAACTTCTCCGATAAACCCGGCCTCGGGAGACGGGAACTCATCAGAGCTTCTTCGGGTTCCTGGCGCGACCGTTGATTCCGGAACTCTGAACCGATTCAACAAAGATAGCCCCTGGGTCTCAGATGTTTAACCTCTGGTAAATTAACATAACTATGGAAATTCACCATTTTTAATGGGAAAATCCACTAAAAATGGCCATTTTCAATAGCCATGTTAAATTACCAGAGGGTGCCCCAATGAGGAAACAGGAAACCTCCATGGATCAACCATACCCTCTGGGAATTCAATTCGTAGCTATGGAAAATCACCGAATTTTTCGCCAATGATTTGCCGGGCCCATGGCGATGTCAGATGTCACATTTCACAAAAAAGTGATGCCTGGCGATGCCTGGATTCGGAAAGGTTGAATTACTCATGGAAGTTGGTGGGATCGAGAAAACTAATTAAAGATGTTTAGAGTCTATTTGCAAGCCACATTTCTGAGCCAAAGGGTCATAGTGAAGAAATAATTTAGACTCTAGCCCAAAAATACGGATTTTCCCAGTGAAATAAATAAACGGGTTTGTGGATTCATAAACTGTGGACCAGAGAGTTACTAAAATGATACCTACCAGTAGCCGGTAATTGTAATACTTGATGCAATTTCCCGATCCGAATCGAGCCTAGAATCTTCCAATCATTTGTGTTGCCAGAGACTACCTTCGGGTAATTTCGCATGGCAATGGGCAATGGGACTACACCCCAATGAGTAAACATCATATGGAAATAGTCTACTCATTTATGGTCTCTTGACTGGTCAGATTTATCCGAAAAAGTTCTCTGCCATACTCTTGATGCGTCTTATCCTCTTGGAAATTCTCTTGATGTTCCCTTAAACAATCTCATCTATACCTTAACTAAACCCATGCATGCCATTATTACACCATGTTATTGATAGTTTAAATATCCCAATTCTATCTGCCTGAAAATCTGAAGCTCCATTTGACGCGCCTGGCTTTGCCTTTGGGCATGCACTCCTGTTGTCGTGGTGGGAGGGCTACCATACACCAAGAAAATTGGACCAAGGATGAGGGAAGCGCTGTAACGTCATGAAATGTAATGGAATTTAAGTGTGTATGTTCATATTTATCGTATAAGATCACTATATACCATGATTATTGCGCTCCTGTAAATAAATGCTGATGCATATCTTAGAGTATGCGATTTTGGGGGAACCAGATTTGACTCTTCCCATCATTTCTTAGTCTCTCGGCACAAGAATGTCACTTTCGCACAATTTTCACAGGGCCTCAGGGTTTTAGCTTTCGCGGAAGGTTTTTCTGAATAATTTTTATATATTTTTTATGATCCCATTTTGTTGTTCCATCACGCTTGGGGCCCACCAAAATGGCAACATGTTCGCAAGGCGATTGCCTCAAAATGGTGGCATCCAACGGAAGGGACCAAGTTTGTCTCAAAATCACAATAGGGTACCAACATTTGATGGTTAATCATGATATGGTATGGTATGGTATGTAATGGTATGGTATGTAATGTAATGTGATGTGATGTAATGTATGGTATGTAATGTAATGTAATGTAATGTAATGGTATGGTATGTAATGTAATGTAATGTAACGTAATGTAATGTAATGTTATGTTATGTTATGTATCTATGTATGTAGATATATAATGTCATATTATTATACAATACTACATAGTCCTACATGCAGTCATGAGATGTCATGAGCCCTTCCCAGGCTGTGCGGAGCCCTGTCCTGTCAGGGGCTGTTCGGTACATGCCCGGCATGGCTGGATCCAGAGTCGACGCAGGATACGGCTGTAGAAATGCCATCACATCTACCAGGATCTACAAGTAATCAAACACGGCGTGACGAAAATCCTCCAACAAAAACTTCAATGATTTTTCAAATGCCACGTCTAGGGATATTCCATTGATGACATGTCTTCTATGACTCTGTGACAAGCGCGGAGAGCTTAAATGGTCTCCACAAAGGCTGCGGTCAGTCGGGCATTTCAGCAGGATTCCATCATTGGAACATCTGAGACTCTAAGACGAAAAAGAAGTGAAACCTTAGTGGGGTATCAAAAAAAATGATCCACACAAATACAAAGGGGGAAAAAAAACACATCATTACTCATATGATTAAAAGTGAAGATTGAAAATATGTCAAACCACCAGCAGAATAGCTCCAAAATCACCCAACTCTTCACCGTCACCACTCACCACAAATGAGCCAGATCCGATCGGCAAACGTGCAACAGGCATATTCTAGCCAACAGAAAAGGAACCCCTTCAATGGTGAGAAAGACGTCGCATTGAAAAAGATAAAATTGGCATATTGGTATAGCTTTATCCCCGGTCATACAATGTAGGAACACAATCTCGAACAGTTCACCCCTCCCATTCCATCAAAACTCTCATAAATCATGCAGTTTTGCCGACCATTCACAAATTGGCTTACCCAGTTGTACTGGCGCTATCCCGCTTACCCTCCAGTCAACAGAACTATGGACATCCATGGAATCCATGGATTTCCATAGGAAAATACCGAACTCAATGGTGGATGTTCCAGAGCTATGTTAGTCTGGAGGGTATGCTGAACAAAAATCTTGGAACCAGCCGTGTTTTACCAAGGTCTAGTGCGCCTGCTGCGGCACCAAGAGCCTTCTCTAAAACCTGGGAAACGTCTTCCCGATGGAGTTCGCCATGGGCTCAGGAAAAAAACACACACACACCATATATGGGGATATATTATATATATATATTATATATATATATATGTATCTGTATATATATATATATATACATACATACACATAGTTACACATATACATAGGTATATACATATGGGTTTGTCGCAAAAACGAGTAATTATACCGAAAGTGCCATGCAGACAGGAGAGATGATGATAAGCCATAGAGGTACCCGGGTTTTCACAGGGAGATAGCTGGTGTTGATGGATATTCATCCCCGAGACACATCCCTCGTTGCATCACTGGTCAATTACCATGATGGCTATACCCGTAGTTACATGATGTTACATGGTTACAACTGGGAGTGGCTATCATTGTCCAAAAAATACTATGTTTAGGTAATGATCTTAATTACCTCAGCACCCATATTTCCATGTTTCTTGGTTACAGTCACTCACATTCTCACTTGTTGCATCCTTGTGTTGTTGACATCCAACAAATTGATGACAGCCTACATGCCATGGCTTACCTTAGACACTGTGCCTTGTAGAAAAAAGTCAATGTTCAACTGGGCAGCACGATTATTCGCCCAATGATCGTCCAACAAATACACAGAAAAAAACGGTCACCGTTCACCAGACATGTTTTCCCAAAAAAAGGAAATAATCCCTCTTTGATAGTGGTGAACTCCCAATTGCTTAAAAAAAAGTACACAAATCCCATGATGTGCTTGTAGAGTACACAAATCCCATAATATTCACCAGGTTCCCCATCTGAGATAACTGCTATCTTTTTTCAAGGACAACTCCCATGTCTGGTGGTCCTTCATAAGAATCCTCAGCCAGGTAGTATCATCCCCAACCAGGCAGTGGGTAATTACGACATATGGGGGGGGTTCATAGTCATGGGGCTACCCCACCCCAATAGCTGGATGGTTTATTTCATGGAAAATCCCAATCTAAAATGGATGGTGACTGGGGGTACCCCCATGACTTAGGAAACCTCCCCATGTCGTCATCTGTTCCAAAATGTTCACCCAGGATTGTGCTAAACCAACTTTAATTAGTAATGGTGGCAACCCTATTTCGGGGGCAACAACCCCCCAAACATAATGGCCCATTTAATGGCTTTTTTAAACCACAGTTTTGACCATAGCACCAGTGGGTTTCTCTGAAAATATGGTCTCCCAAATTTTGAAAGAAAAACACAACAAGCTTCGGTGGTATCCCCAACAGCCGCAACGTTTTATTTTTACAAGTCTTTCTGAAGCGTGCTGCGAAGCCAAGCGCTGGAAACACCTCAGCTGGGTTTCCGCGAGTTAAATGGCCGCAAATCCTGTTGAACCTGACCTGGCTCAGCACCAAAGCCTCCCAAACCTTTTTCGGAACCTTCTTCGGAAGCCTGTTGAACCTGACTTGGCTCTGCACCAAAACCTCCTAGAACTTTCTCCGGAACCTTCTCCGGAACCTTCTCCAAAACCCTGTTGAACCTAAGCTGGCTCTGCACCAAAACCTCCCACACCTTCTCCGCGGCCTTCTCCGGAACCTTCTTCGGAACCCTGTTGAACCTGACCTGGCTCTGCACCAAAGCGTTCCCGACCTTCTCGGGAACGTTTTCCGGAACCTTGTTGAGCCTGACCTCACTCTGCACCAAAGCCTCGCAGACCTCCCCCGGAACCCTCTTCGGAACCTTCTCCGGAACCCTGTTGAACGTGACCTGGCTCTGCACCAAAGCCTCCCGGAACCTTCTCCGGAACCTTCTCCGGAATATCGTTGAACCTGACCCGGCGCCTGCACCAGTGCACACCGGACTTATTCTGGGCTGAAGACCCCATTAGCTTAGGTACGCTGCTGGGGAAAAAATGGGAAAGGTATGGAAAGGTATGCGCCATCAATATCCATCAATATCCCATAAATGGGTACATGTTCCCACCATTTTCCCCGTTGAAAACATCATTTTTTCCCCGTTGGAGTGGCACGGACCTTGACTGCCAACTGCCGATCCCTTTGATGCTGCACCGCCACCTGTGGGAGACACCATTTTTACCAACGTCGACAACTGGAAACCACCATGGAAATAGCAGCAATGGATTATATGTATAAAGGTATATAGGTATATGCGTTTCATATCTTCAGGAATTTTAGCTGATGTGGCTTGGCCTCAAGGTCGAGTTGTGTCTTTAACGAACGCTGCTTCACAGCGGATGGCCTCATCTGATAGGGAACAAAGGCAATCCAATAGGGAAAAATCATGGTGTATAACTATACTTGTAACTGGTTGGTGGTATACCTACCCCTCTGAAGAATATGAGTTCGTCAGTTGGGATCATTATTCCCACTATATGGAAAATCAAAAATGTTCCAAACCACCAACTATACTTGTAACCATTAAAATTAGATATACTGTACTCATGTATACATGAGCAGAACTCAATGTAGGCACCGGGAAAATGTGTGTTGATATCGACGAACGACAACTAGCAAATTGCATATCTTTGACATTTCCAACAAAACAACACCGGATCTAATACGATCCCATCCGATAATTCTCACATACAGCATACATCAATGGATTGGTAAAGTAAAATTTACAGGGAACCAGTTCGTTTTCCTCTCATTTTTTCCCCATATACTCTCTGAAAAATTGACCATTTCTGGGCATTTGTCCAGTGAGGTACTCCTGGTTTCGTCCAAAATTGGCTACACTGAAATCCTAACTTTAGGGAAACCAAAATCCCACGGTTGATTTTTGTTTCCCCTGCGAAAATTTAACCCGAAACGATGTTGATTCAAAAATCCACGTTCAAAGTCACACCATTTCACAATCCTAAACTGTGAACTTGTAAAATCGTGATTCAGTATCTGCTGAACTGAACAATTTCACAATCAGTTTCACCATCAATTTTTAGGATTGTAAAAAAACTTGAAAGTTCACTCTCAGTTTCTGCTGAACTCGTGGCAAATCACCGTTGCTGGCACCTCAGTGCTGTTGGAACTGGCATCCTGCTCAAAGACTTCGCGGGCCTGGTGCCGAACTTGGGAGATGATGTGTATAAATATATTCCATTAGTATATATGATAAGTCAAAAATATTGGGTTTATATCATGTCTATATATTTTTCTTTGGTATCGGTATAAGTCTAAAAAATATTGGGTTACCCTCCAGCACTCAAACATAGTTTGCTGGAAAATCCCCCAGCTATACTACGATCGTTGTCCCTAATATAATGTAGGGCATGTTTTACAGGAAAAAGAACATCTGAGTTTATACAATCTATTATTGAAATAGAATCTATTGCATATAATTATATATATAATTCAATCCCTTCCCACTTGAAAATAGCCAGCAAACGAAACCTTGACTTAGTATTGGACCCACTCATTTTGGGCCTGTATTGGAGGTGCTTGACACTAGGGGGGATGGGATTACCTGAACATACTTCAGGCCGGAGAACTACTGTAGTATACGTAGTATGGTGCAGCGTAAAGAATTTACTACATAAGGTTACCTTCCAAAATAGTAGCTATGGAAACTTCAAAAAATAGAAAAGATGTTAAATCCTACTAAAATAGTGATAAATAAAACGTTTCTATCAGGGGCTACTATATCTCATACATATACACTGTGATATCACCATGTGTAAACCCATTGGATATGGCTGGTTTACATGGGGATTCCGAGCTCCACTGGGGCTCACATGCAGATCATACAGGAGTGTTGGTTTAGATGTTGGTTGGTGGGGGGGCGACCCTTGATTTTGCAGGAAAAACAACAAATGAGGGTCTATCCAAAATTAGGGTGCCTCGAAATCCAGTGGTTGAGCATGATTTCCCATGAACATATTTTCATAAGATCCCACTGTGTTTTTTCCCCCGCAGTAGTTGCCCTTGATTCTTCAATGGCCAAATCCAGTCTATGCCAACTCATCCAACAGCACCAGAAAGATTTCATTCCATGGGGCCCTACTTGGGTGTCCCAGCAATCGTATCTCCTGGATGTGTTGACAAAAATTTTCTCAGACCCCACTGGGCCCCCACTGCCTCTTGGCAGAGCTGCAAGCCTTTCTGAAGGTGTGACAAGTGATCCTCCAAAGCTGCCTGCCGCAAAACACTTCAGGCCGGTGACAATGTCCCAGGAACATCCTCCACCTATCCCCACCATTCAGAAAACCTGAAGAGTTCGGCCCTTGACAAAAAGGAGGATTTCCGTACTGACAATCATTGACAGTGACTCATTGCAGTGCGAAAAAAAAACATCCAAATCAATGATTGCTAAACCCATTCATACCCATTGAGATCCATCAATATCCACCAATTAACCCGACCATATCCCCATATCCCCATTTAATATCATTAAACCACTGTTTTCATTGGTTAAATTCCTATTAAGATAATTGGTTATGTTTATCCAATTGTAGTACGTGGTCACATATCCCATCATATTATATATCCCGTTATCATAACCGGTTGTATATCCCCTTGTTCAGGTAATAATTGATGATATTAAGTTATAAATCCCCATGGTTCCTCTATTGATATATGTCAATTATGGTTGTTAAAAACTGTTTATCCCATTTATGGTTAGTTTTATATCCCATGATATCACCATTTTATCCCCCTTGTTGGTTTAATCCCCATGAAATATCACCAATTACATCTCCATTAAACCATTACATTCATTCGTTGAACCCCGAAACCCGCTGGTTGAACCTAGTTGCTTCAACCATGTTACACCCCAACTTTTGTAGAAGTTATATCATGAATTATATACCACCATACCATTGTTGATCTTGGGGAACCAGGTAACCTCATATATAAATATATATATATATAAATAAATATAAATATATAAATATATATATATAAATATATGTAAATATATGTAAATATATAAATATATATATATATGTAAATATATATATGTAAATATATATATATATTTATTATTTATTTATGTAAGGTGTGTATATATATATGGTGTGTATTTATATAATATATATATATGGTGTATGTTCAGAACAACACACACCAACATGACCATTGTGCAGTTGTTTATCTTGTGCCAACATGTGGCCCAACATTAGGCCTTGAGACTACATCACACCAACACACACCAACATGACCATTGTGCAGTTGTTTATCTTGTGCCAACATGTGGCCCAACATTAGGCCTTGAGCCTACATTGAGCTTACCTTGAGCCTAGACAACAGTACAGGAAAAGGTGCGCACAGCAACAGCAGTGACAACAGTGCCGTGAAACTTTTCATGGTAGCGGAGCAGTGATCCTGGAAGCATCCAGGTGAGCTCCAACACAACAGGCAACAACAAGGAGCACCTGGGTAGCAGCCCAGAAGAAGAGGGCTTGATCCCAGAGCACTGGGGGACCTTCAACAAACAACACACAACTGCAGCAACAGGAGAGAGGAAACAGGCTTTACAACAAACAGTGCGCGAGGAGACAGGAGAAGGGCTTGATCCCAACTCAAGAGTGTGGGGGACCCTCAACAAGGAGAGATGGCAACAGGCCACAACATCGGAACACCAATGGCAGCAAACGAAGAAGCATCAGAAGCACTTGCCTCAACACACAGACTGAAGCTGAAGCCACCAACATACGATGGAAACTACGCAACGTTTGAGGAGTGGAAGTACAAATTCACTGCCTACATGGGCATACAGGACAACATCTACCCTGACCTGCTAGCAAGAGCAGAAAGGGCAACGACAGTACTCACAGATGCAGAACTAACAGCCGCAGCAGGAACACTTGAGGAAGCAGAACGCTGGATACAGCTAGCCAACAACCTCAAGTACATCCTAATCAGCACAACATCAGCTGCAGCAGCAGCGGTGTGCCGACAACACCAAGCAGCAATGGGTCTTGAAGTATACAGGCAACTTTGCCAACGCTTCTCCATCCCTCTGGGAACAAGAAGCATAGGCTATCTCACACAGTTGCTCAAGCCAACTTTCAGCCACAACAACTTTGAGGAGTCTTTCTCAACATGGGAATTTGAGGTCGCGCGCCATGAGCGAGACAACAACACACAACTTCCAGACCAGGTGAAGATAGCAGTTCTCATGAATGAGACAACAGGCCCTGTGCAACAGCATCTACGCCTGAATGCAAGACAAGCACCAACATACGCCATGATCAGAGAGATCATCACAGAGTCCTACAGGGCAACAGAGTCTACAGGACAACGGCAGCCATTGCCAGGCTTCAACAACAGGCATCCTCAGCATTTAGCACAACCTACAGTGGAGGACAGGCTCCAATGGACATTTCAGCAACATACAAAGGAAAAGGAGGCAGAGGCAAAGGAAACAAAGGATATAAAGGAAAGCAACAAGGAAAAGGATACAAAGGAAAAGGATACGGCTACAACAACGGCTACGGCAAGGCAAAAGGAAAAGGGAAAGGAAAACAAGTCTGGCAATCAGTGAAAGGAACAGACAAAGGACAAGGAAAGAACAAAGAAGCCAACAACCCAGGAAAAGGAAAGAACCCAATGGCAATATGCTACAGATGTGGCCAACCAGGTCGCTTGGCCAAAGACTGCAAAACAGCAGCCTGCAACTTGTCGGACACAACATATGAGCAACAACACGACAACAGGGCACAATGGTATTACCAGGGCAGTGGGCAACAATACCAGCAGCCCCAACAAACACCACAACTTGCACTGACAGCACCACAACACACAGCAGCGCAAGAACCACAAACGCCGGCAATACATCTTGTGGCAGCACTGGACAACAAAATGTCAACAACACCAACGGCATCAACACTTCAGTCAGTCCAACAGGATAAAGCTAAAGTCGACATCAGGATCGACAGTGGCGCAGCAACACATGTCTGCCCACCATGGTTTGCGCCCAACTCACCCACGTACACACTGCAACATGGGCAGGGGCCCCAATTGACAACAGCAACAGATGAAACTATCCCAGTGTATGGATACAAATGGGTCTTGATGAGCAACATCAGAAAGCAACAACTGGTTATTCCCTTCTTTGTGTGCGAAGTGACACAACCCATCATGTCAGTAACAAGACTGGCAGAACAAGGGTTCAACATACAGCTAAATGAGACACCAACAGTCACACACACACACAAACACAAAGGGATTCAATTCAGCACTTGTTTAACGTGATGGACTTTACTTCATGACGATGGAGTTTGTCAACATTCCAGTCGACATGCAGCTGGAAGTACATCAAACAACCCAAGGCACAACAGCAATTATCACACCAGTCACCTTGATACCAGCAGGTATGGAGGTCTTGAAAAACAGAAATGACCTCTGGACATTCAAACAATCAAGGATACCTGGTGAGAGCGCAGAGATCACAACGCAAAGCACTCTCCATGCCAGACCAACTGTGTCCAGTTCCAACAGAAAGGTTGGAGAACTATAGAAGAACAGTTGTAAGAAGAAACAGTGGCAACAATGAGAGCATTGAGGATGCGCACCAAACACTTTACCAAGCAACAAAAGAGAATCCTTGAAGGAGAACCTTGGACAGGAGCGACCTGGCTCAGGGTCAAAAGAGGAACCCCTCTCCCTGACAACACACTACCAATGCCAGCATTGCCAGCAACAAGGACAACAGTTCCAACAGCAGCCAGCTCAGCACCAGCACAAGCAGCCGAACACAGAACAGGAAGGATGAGACACAAAACAAAGCAGCCACCGTTTGATCCAACAAGAGCAACATCAATACCACACCCAAGGTCAGTACCACCAACAGCTGACTACTGGATCAAAGAAGGACACTTGTGGAAGAGGGTACATGTCAAACCATGGGCCAGACGTCACAAGGCTCACAACAGAACGAACAACAATGGTGAGGCCAACCAATGGAGCACGATGGTACAGAATAGATGACGACTGGACAACAAAGCGAAAAACAACACTCGACCAGGAGTGGACAGGATCAACCAACTTCGAGGAGACAGCAGCCTACAAGGACGAGTACATCACAGATGATGTCGAGGAGCAACAAGAAGTGAGAAAGGCAAAAAAGGTCTTCCAACACCACAGCAGCCAACAGCACAAGAAAGGCTCGGGCACGAGCTTACACATCTACCAAGCAAATTGTAGGTCAGACAACCACACAAAGCAACAACAAGACACCGGTGATTCAATGTGACCTTACCTACTACAAAGCAATTGGTGAACAAGCAACATCACCAATCTTCACAGCCATAGACGTCGAAACAGGCATGTGCATGGCAGCACAAATAGAAGACAAAACACAAAGCATGCAATACCTGTCAACTAGCCTTCAACAATTCCTTCTGGAATGTGGCAGAACACATGCAGTGCTCAACAACACTGTCATACAGTCAGACAATGAGGATTTCCTCGTAGCACTGCTGAAGGCGACAGGCACAGCAATGGGAAGCAACATTGCACTACGACAATCACCAGCATACACTTTACAGGCACAAGGCAGCGTAGAACATTTCCATCGAACGCGTGAGGGCACTGAAGCTACAGCTTGAGAACAACTACAACACACGACTGACAAGCAAGCATCCCATCATGCCTTGGATGGTGAAACATGCTGAACAGGTATGCAACACACACCGATGGTAACACTAGCTGCTACAGGTGCTGGAACAAGGAACACAAGACACCGTTTTGTGATTTTGGTGAAACAGTTCTTTACCTGCTACCAACAGAAAAGCATATGCCAAAAATGGAAGCCAGATTCTTCCCAGCAATTTGGCTTGGAAAAGACACATCAACAAACGAGAACACCTTGGGCATCTCCAACAAGGTGATCAGGTCAAGGACCATCAGAAGACGTACAACAAACAACTCTTGGATGTCATCGACAACACGCCGATGACAACTCCAACAGCATCAGGCTTCATCACGTTACCAACAACAAAGATGATGGCAAGACCTCAGACAACAACAGAGACACAAACATCTTCACAACAGGAGGAATCAATTACCACAACGACAGCACAGTCATCAACACGCAGAGGACAACAGCCAGCCATTGCAGACGTGCAAATGGCAACAGCACCCTCAACACAAAGGGCAAGAGCACCATTGCCAAGGCCAACATCATCAAAGCGCGATGTGGCAGATGACATAGCAGAAGGCAGTGCGTCCAAGCAGCAAAGGACGTCAACAGGACAAACAGCACCAGCAAGACCCGAGACAATGCAGGAACCACCAGCAACGAGGACAAGGATGACAGCAGTGGCTGTGACAACGAAGAAAGGACAAGAGATTAAAGCTCTGTCCAACGAAGATGAACAAAAAGCAACAGCAGAGAAGATCCTACTGGAACCATGGGTCAAGAACACAGAAGGATTGAACAGAGAACAAACAATTGAAGGAATGAAACAAGAGATAAGGCCAATGAAAGCACAACAGGTGTACACAGAGGTTTCCTTCAGCAACCTGACAAAAGCACAACAAAGCAGGGTGATTAAGTCAAGATGGGTCCTACGGCAAAAAGGCAACAGTGTCAGAGCAAGAATAATGGCAAAAGGATACACAGAGGAAGTCAACGACAATGACGACATCTATGCTTCAACACCAACCTTCTGTGTCCTACGCCTACTGTTAACACTGGCACTCACATGCAATTGGATTGTCAGAACAGGCGACATCTCAACAGCCTTCCTACATGCCAAAGCAGCAAAAGAAGACTTGTCCATGTTTCTACCAGCAGAGTCTACCACCCTGAGGACAACATAGTGTGGAAGCTCAACAAAGCCATCTACGGGTTGAGAAGCAGCCCAAAAGCCTGGCAAAACCACTTGGCAGAAACACTGCAGCAACTTGGAATGCAACGGCTAACAAGCGAGCCCAACGTCTTCAAACAGGCAACGCTTTCATCCTCGTCTACGTGGATGATCTCCTGTTCTTGGGAGAACCAACAGTTGTGAACAAGCTCTTTGCAGACATCCAGCAACAGCTGCTTCTGCGACCAACAGGTGACTTGACAGTAGGAAACAGCGTCAACTTCCTTGGAAGAAACATCTCCAACAAGGGAGATTACAACGAGATCAGCCTGGCAACCGCATACACAACAGAACTGTTGAAGGAAGCAGACATGCTCAACTGCAATGCGTCACCAGCACCTGAAACAAAGACAACATCGACAGATGTTGAACAACCACTCACAACAGAGGAGCACAAAGCATACAGAAGAGCTGTGGGTAAGCTACAGTGGATGACATACACACGACCAGACATCAGCTATGCAACAAAGGAACTGGCAAGATCCCCGACACAGCCAACAACACTTGACCAGCAGAAGCTCAAGCACCTACTCAGGTACCTCAAGGGAACGCAACACTACAGGTTGTACGCGAGACCAATTGTCAGAACAATAGATTCGACGCCGGACCTCAACATCTTCGTGGACTCGGACTGGGCAGGGTGCGCTACAACACGGAAGTCAACGTCAGGATTTGTCATCAAGTTCATGGGATCAACAATCCACTTCGGCACCCGCACGCAATCAACAATTGCACTCAGCAGCGCAGAAGCAGAACTATACTATATGCCATAAACACAGGAGCAACAGAATCACTCCACGTCAGGAACCTCCTACAGGAAGCACTCAACCTCAAGAAGGTCAACATCAGGATACACACAGACTCTTCGATCGAAGAAAACCAAACACATCGAGCTCAAACATCTCTTCATCCAACAACTCGTGCAGCACGATCTTGTGAGGATTATCAAGATCAACACAGCAAAAAACACCGCGGACATCTTCACCAAGAACGTGGCCACCAAGACGCTCTTGAGGCATCTCAACGATGCTGGGCTCACAACACAGCATTACTAGCAGACACCAACAGCAGCAAGAGTTTCACCGCATCATGAACGCAAGCGTGCACTCGCATGTACACGTGCGAACAACGTGCGTACAGTACACACACACAAACACGCATTCTTGAGCTGACAAAAGTCAACAACATCTTCTATATATATCATCGAGATCTCTATACTTCAACATTGGTATATCCACATAGTACTATTTTTACCACATCCCTCTTCAACATGTAAGGACTCAACATGATTGTGGACGTTTGTGGACGAAGTTTTCTTGAATTCAACATGCTCGGAAGTCAACATTTTGTTTGTTGACAACAGAACTGGAGACACAGGTTGCAGATGGCAACACCTATGGTTTCATGCGGCTCGCGGCAGAACAATATGCCGAGTACGTGAGCAACACGCAGATGACTACGATTCCTGGAAAGTCCATGCTTCTAACATGGAGACATTGGATCGTTACAACAACTCTGCATGATCTCTTTCAAGATCGACGTAGTCAACATGGGCTACGCCATCACCGCTGACAAGGCCAACGTTTTCAACAGAGGGGGAGTTTCGACACAGTTCCAACTCTACGACAACTACGGGCTGTCAACATCGGAGCTGGTGTCACAGATTCACCTCCAGATGAATGGACAGTGGTCCAACATTTTTCTAACTTCATCTGGACCTACAATTTGTTCGTCTCCGTTGAACAATTCGTCTCAAAAGAGGACATGGGAAGCTGGATCCACTATCCAACATCCCAAGCGATTCAACTGGGCGGACTTGCGCTCATCAACTCCTTGGATGGCGCAACACAACAAAAGATGGTTGCATATTGCTTGCAGCATGACATCATGATGGAGAAGAACAAGGTCCTCACAACGGACCACATCAGAGGATCTCCTGAGTTTGCATCAACAGTGGTGCAACACATGATCGATGGGTGCCTGCATGCCCAACATCAGCAGCACCAACAAGCCGCTGACGAGGAGGTGCAGACAACAGATGATGTGCCGATGGACGCAACACCGGCAGAGCCAACATCTGGCAACAAGTGAGAAAAGGTAATCAGAAAGGGATGAGACTAGTCTAGGGCGGAGCTCGGACAACACCCTGGTGCCAACAGGTACCAAACCAACAGAGCAGAAGAGCGCAACATGGAAATCAACACCTGAGAGTTCCGATGAACAGGCGTGCACTGAGTCTCAACAGAAGACGCCTTTTGTCAACACTTTTAGAGTTTAAAAATGTACAGGTTTATTCCCAACAAATACCAACATAATACTGTTCAGTTCGGCATGTTAGTGGTGTGAGAAGCAGAGTGATGCAACATGGCATCAATCTGAGGGGCCGGGTTAATAACAACACACCCCAACATGACCGTTGTGCAGTTGTTTTTCTTATGCCAACATGTGGCCCAACATTAGGCCTTGAGCCTACACTGAGCCTACCTTGAGCCTAGACAACAGTACCGGAAAAGGTGCGCACAGCAACAGCAGTGACAACAGTGCCGTGAAACTTTTCAGTGTATATAAATATGGGGTATACATATATATATATATATCTCTCTCTCTCTTTATCACATGTATATATATATATATCACATATGTATATATATATATATATTACACATATAAATGTCGTATATATATATAAAATATCTATTTATATCCCAGCTCATCGCCATCCCAACCACCGGAGAAAACCGGCGGCGCACCTTCTGCTCGGCTTCCGCTTTTGCAGCAGACGCCGAAGCCTCCGCCGCAGCGTTGCTCCGTTGCAGGGCGCTCTGCTGCCGTTGGCGCTCCTGCGAAACCATTGACAGCGGAAAAAAAGAGGTAGATTCAGTCAACAGAATTATCAATATCAAATGATATCAGATGATATCAAATGGTATCAGATGGTATCAGGTGATATCTGATGATATCTGATGATATCTGATGATACCTGATGATACCTGATGATATGTGATGAGATCTGATGATATGGGAATGATATATGTCATTAGATGTGGGTACAACAGTCTGATTATAATATCTTTGTGGGAAATATGTGATTGTATGTGCATATAGTGTATGTACGAATCTATGTACAGGATTCGAGAAACCATGGAAATTCACCGACAACACCAAGGTCGCATCTGTTGGCACTTTCCCTAGCTTCCACGGCTTGCGATGCATGACCGAATACTAAAAAGTTGTTTACAACCCGAATGTCAATAGAAATGATGATGGTTAAGACATGTTCATCAGTTTTATTGTAAACCATCCATTCTCGTGAATGATGATTTGCCAACATGGCAACACTGCAATTTCCTCTGGCAAGACTTTCGCGAACGCTTCTTGCTGTGCTCGACCGAGGGCATTAACTAACAAAATGGTTCCACAGAATCACACCGTTCAGCAAGGGTTTCTTTGACCCACAGCTGTTTCAGACATGACCAAGAGTCTCTGAATTTGACTACCCAAAACAAGAGATTGCCTATTACATGGGCCAATTGTGCTATTTTCCGGCTGTTTCCCCAATGGCCAAGCCCATTGGTGCTGGGTCCTCTGCACACCAAGCTGCTTCCTTAGAGCCTTAATTGGTTCAAGGTAAATCTGCAGCAAACCATAGGTTTTTCCAGTTAGATACTGTTAAGTCAAGTATAGAGTTTTCCCGTAAATGTGCCCTTCAATTCTCGGAATTTGGGGGTTGAAGCATTTTGAACCATAACATGTGTCAACTACATATACTTAGCTCTGAGACAATCACCGAAAACGCCATATTCGCTTTGTCAAATTCCAAAGGTCCCCCAAGTAGCCAATACCCCTCTGCGGGAAAGACATTGAACGCTTATATGATACAGTATGATACTTAAATGTAGATGATTTGTACCCCAAAAGTTCTACGGTCACACGCGACAAAATTCATTCACAAGAATCGTTTGGATTTGGTCGTAAATAGCCCCAAATCACACCACCCAAGTGGTCTAAGCCGGGAATCAATACTTGGACTATCCAAAAATTTGGACATACCCTCTGAATCCCCTATGACTGGGCTATATTATGTGTGCATACATGTATAATTATGTACATACATATATGTATAATTATGTACATACATATATATATATATACACGTGTGTATGTGATTTTGTGTGCGTACCGTCTGTACAGACGTAAAACTTCAATAGGACATTTATTTTTTCCTATTTGCAGGGGGCAGTAGCACCATTGCAAGTTTACTGCCAACGAAGACACTTGCAATCGGTGGTGATTCCAGACCTGATCAGTCTGGCGTACCTGCATTAACGTTCACTGCAATGGCAAGGGGCTAAGCCGAGAACCCCAACCTGGATCTACCTTAGGTCATTGTTCTAATCTACTTGCATGTGATGGGATTCAGTTCCCAACAGATCACTTCAATGATCCAGTTCTTGTCTAGCGTATGTATTACATAAATATGTAATACAATAAGTGTGATTTGTGCCACAAACTTCGCATGCAATCACCATGTGCCAGGCCAATCTATATGCTGCAGCAGAACACCAATGACATTTCGGAACATCAATGCCATACCTCGCCGGCCTGTTTTGGCTTTTCCGACGTGGTGTGTCCTCTGTGAATCACAGAGGGCCCTTTTGAGCCTAATGACATGCTACGCATGCTGAGAAAACATATCACTTGCTTTTGCATCTTGTGTTTGCATTTAGAGCGGCAGAACCCACAACAAGATATCACTTCATATCTTCGCATTGGTAGCGGAGCCGGCAAAGATCCGGCTCCAGCCTTCGCTGCCATGTCGACATCGCCTGTGAGACGAGCGACTGGCAGTGGCGCTGGTGCTTCATCTCCTACCTCTCCAACTGAATCGTCTCCATATGTGAAAGACTCCTTCGTGCCCCGGTTTGACAACACCATCAGCGGCTAGAAGGAGTGGCAAAAGCAGGTCCAACTGTATGCACGTAGGCTTGAGCTTCAAGGTCGTTCAAAAGATGTTGCCATGAATGTTCTAGCAGTACAGGCAGGGTCTAGCTGGACGCAAAGAATGGCCTGGATGTGTTGCTGAGACGTTTGGATTCGACATGGAAGTATGATGAAAGGGTTGAGCTGGGATCCGTATTTGACACCTTCTTCTTCAAGGGTCAGCGAAAGCCCAACCAATCTCTCCTTGAGTATGTCACCGATTTTCACCAAGCATTGCGTGATGTTCAGAGACTGAAGGTAGATCTTCCGGAGGGATTCACCGGATGGCTCATGTTGCGCCGAGCTGCTTTGACCAAGGACCAACAGCATCTAGTTCAGTCTCAGGTTGGCAAAACGTTGACACTGCGAAACGCGGAGAAGAGCCTTCAAACAGTCCAATCATCAAGTCACCGTCAAAATTCATTCCCAAAGGGAAAGGGTCGTTCCAAAGTGCACCATGCTGAAGATGACGAACAATATGATGGTCAAGATGATTGCCTCTGAATGGAACCCCAGTGAAGCCGCAGCCGATAATGAGTGGCGGAGTTCGGGTATTAAAGCTAGAGGAAGAACCATAGCAGGAGATCTAGTTTGTTTGAGATGTGGCAAGACTGGCCACAACGCTGCGAACTGCAAAAGCGCTCCTTCTGCTGCCTCTGGTGTCTCTTCTCCTGCAACGAAGCGTCCCATCGACCTTGACCCGATGGTGAACGTGGTCTTCCAAACACCTTCTGATGAGTTCCATGAGGTTGAAGAGACCTACATGCAAGGTGAGTCTGTGGTGCGTGTTGGTGGATGGGTGACAAAGGAGCCCGACATGTGCATCCAAGACCAAGGTGCTTCATCATTTCGTCTTGGCAGTGAATACATCTTGCGATATCTGGAGTGGTTGGAAGTTCAGGGTTACCCCATGGACACAATCTCCTTCAAGAAGTGCAATAAATCTTTTCGTTTTGGCGGCGACGCAGATGGCCATGCCCGCTGGATGGAGTTGCCTGTGCACTTCGCCAACGCTTCAGGTCGAATCGTGCTCGGGGCCACTCCAATGTTGCTTGGGCGTCCAGTTCTTGAACAACTTGGCGCTGTGGTGGACTAAGATGCGCATCCTTGGTGGCCAGTGGACTGAGAAAGGAGCAAAAGCAAGATGCGATGCTGTTGCGACTTGCCTCAACCTTCGACGCCATTGAGGACTTCGAGAATCCGCAGTTCGATCTCAGAGCCAAGGATGATGATCACGATGATGTATGCTCTCTGCAAGATTTTCTGCAAGATCTACGTGCGGCTGAGCGCTATGAGGAAAAATGATCACCGAGGTCCAATTCACCGACGACGTTTCTGAATATGAGTTCGTCGATGCTGAGACCTATGTGGATTAGCGGGTTCCTGGTGAGCACTTCCATGCCCATGAGCTGACCGAACGACGCTCTCAGTGCTCAATGTTGAAGACCTGGTCATGGATTCAGGGTCAATTGGTGGAAACTTCAAAGAAGGCAGCCCAACTTGACTATGAAGCTCGATGCCAACCTCATCCCCGCAAGAAGCTCATTTGGGAAGTCTACAGCGGCACTGGACTTTTGGGCGAACAAGCTGAACGGGAGCCGATGTGATGCGTTTTGGACTCAACAATGGCTGGGACTTCTCCAAACTGACTCATCGAAAGCGCTTGATGGAATTTGCCTATGAGCTGGAGCCAGATGAGATCTACATGTCTCCAAAGTGCACACTTTGGTCGCCCATGCAAGCCATCAACACGCGCTGTGAAGCTGACTGGGATGAACTTTGGGAGCGTCGAGACTTCGACCATGAGATCCACTTGAAATTTGCAAGAAGCTTTACTGGTTTCAGGTGAAGCGTGGAGCTTATGCTCACATTGAACATCCTCATCGAAGTGCTGCCTGGGACACTCCTGCTTTTGTCAATTTGCCAGGTCAACGCACTACATTTGATCAATGTGAATATGGCTCCACTACCGCAGTTGATGATGCTGAAGTTCCAATAATGAAAACCTGAAAACCACCTCCATTCAGACCACCAAGTGTGCGATGTGTCGCATCATGTCCAAGCGATGCTCTGGCAACCACCAACATGCCCGACTTGAAGGTGGAAGCCGCTGCAAGAAGGCTGAGAATTATCAGTCTGAGCTGGCATGGAATCGTGCTCGTGCCCTTCTTGAGGATGAAGGACTGTCAGAACAGGCCTATGCTGTTCAACCAGACGCTGAAGCTGTGCGCATTGCAGAGCTGACTGGAGTTCTTCGAAAACTTGGCACAAAGCATGGCTCTGAAGCTATTGCCTACCACCTTCATCGAAATCTTGGGATCCTGGAAAGGACAAGTTGGTCCGCATGCTGCAGGCCAAGAATGCAGGTGCAGCTGAAGCCCTTGAGTGCCCATACTGCAACAAGTTTTCTTCACTAAATAGCAATCAGCTCCAGCTCATGCAGAGCGTCCCATGGACTTCAACGAGCAGATCCAGGCCGACACGTTGTGGTTTGATATGAGCTCAGTTGAGCCTGGTGCCCCTTCTGACAAGTCCTCCAAGCGGAAGATTGGCATGCTGGTTGTGGTTGATTGGTCAACTTGCTTCATGACTGTGCGAACCATTCCTGATGAATCCAGCAACTCTCTCATGAAAGCAGTTCAACGTGAATGGATTCGCTATTTTGGCCCTCCGAAACAACTCAGCGTTGATGAATGGTCTGGATGGGGCAGCGATGCCATGATGCAATGGTCTGGCGACCACGACATCGAGATGAAGATCTCTCCTGGGCAAAGCCATTTACGAACTTCAATTGTGGAGCGAAGAACATCAACTCCTTCGCAAGGCACTTTCCATCTTCATGATTGAGAATGGACTTCGAGGCCTTGATGGACTTCATACGGCCCTCCATTGGACAATGCACCTTCGTGAATGGATATACACCCATGCAGCTTGCTCTAAGATCTACAGCCAGGTGAACGATGCCTTTATTGGCGAGAAGCTGGCAACAGATTCCACGCGGTTCAGTGGAAAGGCTCTGCAACGGTCGTAGCTGTCCAACGAGACCCAGACACTGGCACCATTGACACTTACTGGCTGGCCTATGGCACTGTCCTCATCTGTGCCGGGCGACAACATGTCCGAAGACTTGTTGGACAAGATGGCCTTGTCAATGGAGCTCAACGTGCTGAACAAGCCATTGCTGGTCTTGTCAACAGCAAATTGTTCGAACTGCCGATTTGCGGCGCATCAACAAGTCACACCTTGGAGGATTTTGAGGGTGAGATCTCTGACAGACCACCTGATGAGCCATCACCAAAGAAGGCCAAGACTGGTCCTCATCCAGACCAAGGTGAGCAAGATGCCCCAGCAGCACGACGTGAATCAGTGCGATCACTTTCCTATGAGCCAACTGAACCCTTGGATGATTTGCCTAGGCCTAAAGGTCCTGCTGAAGTGCGACTCCACAGAGCCACGATCTTCACAAAATGCCGAAGCAGCACCTTCCAGCGAAGAAGCAAGTCCTGGACTTGCACCTGAACCTCTTCTACAAGATGCCCCAATTCCTGGTGATGATGACGATGAAAGTGAGCAGCCGACGATTGCGGCTGACAACACCATTACTCATTACTCCAATCTCTAAGTCCACTTGCTGAACGCCGACGGCAACAAGAACGGCAAGAAACATCTTGGTTGCGAACTCCCTTGTGGCCACTGGCGCGTGATCATCCTGATCCTGAAAGCCCTGGCAAGCCGAAGCGTGCCAGACGCCATGAATCGGTCAACATCGCTGTGGAGCTTTTTCGCAAAATGGCTGCGAAGGCTCAACCAACCTTCCGGCCGGATGGCACTATGATCCGAAAACCCATGAGATTTACCTTGGGTCCACAGCAGATTTTTGGAGCTTCGAAGATGGATTTTTGGTTGGTTCACATCTCTGATTGTCCCTTGCCAGCCGACGAGCTCCAGACCCCCAATGGCCTGACTATGAGGCGAAACAGCCGCATCATCCTGGTCAACGAGGAGCAGCCTGCCCCTGTGGGTGACGAACCATGGTTTGGAAAGACCCTTTACCCACTGACCAAAGATGCTGCTGCGGAGTTCGGCCAAACCTATGTTGGCGACTTCACCAAGAAGTTCAACAACAAAACCATCCCCGAAGCAGAGGCCACATTTGGTCTGCCCAAGCTTCGCCCAAGAAGACGAACGTCAAGGACTCAGCTGACCTGAAGGAAAGCCGAATGAGTCTTGAAGATCGCCTGGCGTTCATCGAGGGTAAGAAAGCAGAAGTGGCCTCCATTTTTGAAAATCAAGTTTGGGAGATCGAGCTTCGCCCTGAGAAGGTCGACTGGAACCGAGTGATGAAGGCACGGTTTGTGCTGAAATGGTCTGCCGACAACAACGGCAACCCACGTGCGAAAGCACGTTTGGTTCTTCAAGGGCTCTCTGACCCAGACCTTCTTTGAGGAGAACTCGACACCTCATCTCCAACCTTGAGCCGGTCTTCACGGCAGATCCTCTTGGCCATTGCAACTTGCAAATCCTGGCCTCTTTTCATCCCTGATGTGGCGACAGCCTTCTTGCAGAGTGATCCACAGAAAAAAATGTTGTGGACCAGAATTCCAAAAGATGCTTGCCAGCTGATAGGTGTACCCGCCGGCCGTGCCCTCCTGCGACTTCTCAAACCCATATATGGGCAAGCAGATGCTCCAAGAAGGTGGTTCCAAGTTGCCCGTAGAAGATTGATCTGCAGGGTACCAGCCACAATCTACTTGATCAATGTCTTTATTGTCTTTTTCATGGTGATCATTTGGTTTCAATGATCGGCATTCATGTCGACGACCTCATCGGCGGCGGACTTTAATCCGATGAAGTGTACCAGAAGGCCAAGCAAGCCCTCCATGAAAGCACTGGTCTGAAGCGAAACCTGGTGCTCACTTTTAATTTTGTGGGTGCAGGTTAGACTCCATTGATGGTGGATGGCTACTACATCAGAAAGAATATCTTCAGAAGGTCAAGCCGCTTCTTCAGAAGGTCAAGCCACTGACCATGGCTGATCATAATGAAGAAAGGCAGCTCAACACTAAGGAGGTGACCATGCTTCGAGGACTCCTGGAGCGTTACAATGGCCAGCCACCCAAACATCACCACACCTGAGTGCAAGTGTGAGCCTTTTGTGTGGAGGAGTGAGTTCCGCAACGGTTTCCACAGCTACCCAAACAAACAAACTTCTGAGATTTGCCAAAGCCAATAATGATGTTGGACTCCCTTTTCTGACCTAGGCCAACTACATGAGCTATGCATTTAGCCCTGAGTGATGCGGCCTGGGGTGTTCGAAGAAAACATGAATCCCAAGGCGGCTACTTTGTTTTGCTGATGAGTGTGAAAGCCTTGCAGGGACAACTGGATCAACCCTACGTTGTTCTGGATTGGAGAGGCTACAAGCTCCCCAGAATCAGTCGCAGCAGCCTCAACTCCGAAGCACAAGCATGCGCTGGTGCAATGGATGCTCTTGAATATCTTTTGATCTTCTGGCATGCATGCGTGACCCGTGGCTTTGAACTTCGCCATTGGACGTCCACGACATTTCCATGCAATCCGCCCCTGAAGGCAGAAGTTCCACAGATGCAAGGCGACCGAAGATCAAAGATTGAGGTCATGGTGGTGAAACAGAAAATTGATGAGATGAAAACAAAATTGAAATGGATTTCATCAGAAACCCAACTGGCAGATGGTGTCACAAAGATCGCAGCACGACAGCTGTTAGCTGACCGTCTCCGGTCCCATGTCTTCTCCCTGCATTCAGACCGAAGTTTCCAAGCCGCAAAGAGGAAGACATTGGCAGAGCATCAAGCCTCAGCCAGACGCAACGCTAGTGGTCGTCTAGTGCGCAAGGGAAGCCTTGGTTTTGCGGTGCTGCCGAATCAACTTGAGCCAGTTCGAGGAGACGATTTTTCTGATGGTCTTTCATCCGTCTGCCATGTTTGCAGCGACGATGTTTCTGGCTGGGCGGTGCTTATACAGAATGACAAGGTCCTTGCAGAGACCTTTACTGGTGCAGTTCTTTCAAAGAATATCATGGTCCATGACGAGACCTTTACTGGCGTTTTTCTGGAAGCAGCGAGCTGTGCTGGAAGCTGTATCAACTCAAACAGATGGCGGTCGTGATCAAACAATCAGGCTGCTGAATTGCCAAATCCAAATGCTGGAACAACAGTTGGGCGAACGTGATGGAAGAACTGAAGATCTTGAAAGCCTGGTCCACTACTACGAGGGTGATGTGACGACCACACCCTTAGCCTTGTTTGTGAGCCGGACTAGTGCCAGATATCATTTGAGCAGAGATTGCCGAGCTCTTTCGCACGCGAACCAAGCTGGCATCAAAAATTTGACATGCTGCAGCCAATGTACCAAAGTCTTGCGAGACAATTCCAACCTCGGTGGCCCATGGTGATTTTTCCTCCTTTCTACCGGTGTGAGTTTGTGCCACAAACTTCGCATGCAATCACCATGTGCCAGGCCAATCTATATGCTGCAGCAGAACACCGATGACATTTCGGAACATCAATGCCATACCGGGCCGGCCTGTTTTGGCTTTTCCGACGTGGTGTGTCCTCTGTGAATCACAGAGGGCCCTTTTGAGCCTAACGACATGCTACTGCTACGCATGCTGAGAAGACAGATCACTTGCATTTGCATCTTGCGTTTGCACTTAGAGCGGCAGAACACACAACAAGATATCACTTCATATCTTCGCATAAGATGATTGTAATGGGAAAACTTTGCCCAAGACACGTCCGAAATTCATCGGATCTGGATTTTCCATCACAGATTTTCGCTGGTAGCAACTGAGTTCCCCACTGGTCGCAGTGTTCTCCTGACGGCTGCATCGTGATGCACCGTTGCAGTACCCTTTTTGAAGGGCGAGTCTTCAAATAGCATGTAAGCGCAGCGCATAGAAAAGGAGAAAAACAGGTGGACATCTTCTTCAAGTATCACCTTGACATCATCCAAAAAAGCATCCTGGATGCTTCAGTGACACACAAACATCATCAAAAATCATCTAAACTCTTTCAAGATTATCCAAAATCAAAAAAAAGCCTTGAACAATCATCAAAATCGTTGAACAGCATCCAGATGACGCACCGGTGCACTCTCCCCTCAGCACTGAGCGCCTGGTGCAATCTCGCCATGAGTTCCAAGACCTTGGGACGTTCATCGTCCGGCATGGCCTCGGTGAGGGCACATAGACGTAGACGTAGATGTATACCTAAATCTATGGTTGAACAATCACGTGCGCCTCTTGGGGAATAAACTGCATCTTCTGCCGGGCTGTTGCTGCTCTTTTTGTTCTTCTTCTTCTGCTTCTGCTTCTTCTTCTTCTTCTCCTTCGTCTTCTCCTTCGTCTTCTCCTTCGTCTTTTTCGTCTTCTTCTTCGTCTTCTCCTTCGTCTTTTTCGTCTTCTTCTTCTTCTTCTTCTTCTTCTCCTTCGTCTTCTCCTTCGTCTTCTCCTTCGTCTTTTTCGTCTTCTTCTTCTTCTTCTTCTTCTTCTTCTTCTTCGTCTTCTCCTTCGTCTTCTCCTTCGTCTTTTTCGTCTTCTTCTTCTTCTTCTTCTTTTTCTTCTTCTTCTTCTTCGTCTTCTCCTTCGTCTTCTCCTTCGTCTTCTCCTTCGTCTTCTTCTTCTTCTTCTTCTTTTTCTTCTTCTTCGTCTTCTTCTTCTTCTTCGTCTTTTTCCTCTTCTTTTTCTTCTTCTTCTTCTTTTTCCTCTTCTTCTTCTTCTTCTTCGTCTTCTCCTTCGTCTTCTCCTTCGTCTTTTTCGTCTTCTTCTTCTTCTTCTTCTTCTTCGTCTTCTCCTTCGTCTTCTCCTTCGTCTTCTCCTTCGTCTTCTTCTTCTTCTTCTTCGTCTTCTCCTTCGTCTTCTCCTTCGTCTTCTCCTTCGTCTTTTTCGTCTTCTTCTTCTTCTTCTCCTCCTTCGTCTTCTCCTTCGTCATTTTCGTCTTCTTCTTCTTCTTCTTCTTCGTCTTCTCCTTCGTCTTCTCCTTCGTCTTTTTCGTCTTCTTCTTCTTCTTCTTTTTCTGCTTCTTCTTCTTCTTCTTCTTCTTCGTCTTCTCCTTCGTCTTCTCCTTCGTCTTCTCCTTCGTCTTCTTCTTCTTCTTCTTTTTCCTCTTCTTCGTCTTCTTCTTCTTCGTCTTTTTCCTCTTCTTCTTCTTCTTCTTCTTTTTCTTCTTCTTCGTCTTCTTCTTCTTCGTCTTCTTCTTCGTCTTCTCCTTCGTCTTTTTCCTCTTCTTTTTCTTCTTCTTTTTCTTCTTCTTATTCTTCTTCTTATTCTTCTTCTTCTTCTTCTTCTTCTTCGTCTTCTTCTTCTTCGTCTTCTTCTTCTTCTTCTTCTTCGTCTTCTCCTTCGTCTTCTCCTTCGTCTTCTCCTTCGTCTTTTTCGTCTTCTTCTTCTGATTTTTCTTATTCTTCTTATTTTTCTTCTTTTTCTTCGTCTTCTTCGTCTTCTTGTGTTCTTCTTCTTTGTCTTCTTTGTCTTCTTCTTCTTCGTCTTCTTCGTCTTCTTTGTGTTCTTCTTTTTCTTCTTCATCATATTCTTCTTTGTCTTCTTCGTCTTCTTCTTCTGCTTCTTCTTCTTCTTTTTCTTCTTCTTCTTCTTCTTTCTTCTTCTTTTTCTTTTTCCTCTTCTTTGTCTTCTTCTTCTTCTTCTGCTTCATCTTCTTCTGCTTCTTCTTCTTCTTCTTCGTCTTCTCCTTCGTCTTCTCCTTCGTCTTTTTCGTCTTCTTCTTCTTCTTCGTCTTCTTTGTGTTCTCTTGTTCTTCTTCATCATTTTCTTCTTCGTCTTCTTCGTCTTCTTCTTCTGCTTCTTCTTCTTCTTCTTCTTTCTTCTTTCTTCTTCTTTTTCTTTTTCCTCTTCTTTGTCTTCTTCTTCTTCTTCTGCTTCTTCTTCTGCTTCTTCTTCTTCTTCTTCTTCTTCGTCTTCTCCTTCGTCTTCTCCTTCGTCTTCTCCTTCGTCTTCTCCTTCGTCTTTTTCGTCTTCTTCTTCTTATTTTTCTTATTTTTTCTTCTTTTTCTTCGTCTTCTTCGTCTTCTTGTGTTCTTCTTCTTTGTCTTCTTCGTCTTATTCTTCTTCTTCGTCTTCTTCGTCTTCTTTGTGTTCTTCTTTTTCTTCTTCATCATGATCTTCTTCGTCTTCTTCGTCTTCTTCTTCTGCTTCTTCTTCTTCATCATATTCTTCTTTGTTTTCTTCGTCTTCTTCTTCTGCTTCTTCTTCTTCTTCTTCCTTCTTCTTTTTCTTTTTCCTCTTCTTTGTCTTCTCTTTCTTCTTCTGCTTCTTCTTCCTCTTCTTCTTCTTCTTCGTCTTCTTCTTTTTCCTCTTCTTTGTCTTCTTCTTCTGCTTCTTCTTCTTCTTCTTCTTCTTGTTGCTGGTCGTGTTGATGTTGTTGCCGGTGATAGCGGTGCTTGAAATGTCCCTGAGTGTTGCTGTGCGGTTCCTGCCGCCTGCAGTGTGAAGAAAGATACAAAAAGGTTGTTAGGGGGGGTCTTTGATTTTGCAGCAAAAAGAGGTTAGGGGAAGTCTTTGATTTTGCAGGAAAAAATCTATGATAATATGATCTTTCTTGATTTTATAGAGTGCACATTTTGTGGAAAGCTGGGTCCACCATGTTTTATTCTTGAGAAAGAATGGGGAGTCCCAGGTTATCAAGAATCAGTATACCCCTTGCAAGAATGGGATCATTGCTTATGCCCCCCCTTGACATACAGTAACCCCCAAAAAGATAGAAAAAGAAACTCCTACTAAAATAGTAACCCCCAAAAAGACAGAAAAGTAATTCATCACCATTTTAGCAGGACTTTATATATTATGTTCTATCTTTTTGGGGCTGTAGCTGTAGCTGTCATACTATTGGGTGGGTGGCACCACCACATCACTTGTGCCTCCAGTGCGGCTTCTATGTCTGGCTTCTAAGCGGCTTGATGGCTTCCAAGTGGCTCCTATTGCATGTCTATTTGATGCTTTTCAAAAAAAAAACAACAAGAACAGAAAAAACAGCAATAACAACTTATAATCACAATATATCACAATTATAAAACAATCACAACAACTATCAATGTTTTAACATCAAAAATGATGTTCTGCCTGCATACAAATGCCTCCTCAAATCCACCAAAGCTCTGCAAAAAGCTACCATCGAAAGCACCATCGCCAGCTGGTGATGCAAAAACCCATATGCTGGAGCTATCCGAGCTATCCAATCTCGTTGGTCCATTGGTGCAATCTGCAGGCCATGTCACTTTGACGATGGAAAACAGAGACCCTGTGTGTTTGGAAAAGTCCTTTAGCTATGGGTCAGTTCCACCACCCTTCTGTTCACAGCAAAATGCCTGGTAACCGCTGGGTAAATAAGGTATATCCCATGGATATCCCATGGATATCCCTCGTGGCTCGATGGCAAAATAAAATCAGCAGCGTTAGTCCATAATCCAACAAAAGACTGCTTATATATATATATAATATATACATAATGGGAAAATCCACTATTTATGGTCATTTTCAATAGCTACGTTAAATTACCAGAGGGTATATAATCCCTCTATTCCCACCATCAACAATCATGGCTTTTAATCCTCAAAAATAAACCTGTTTTTGTGGTATATAGCTCATGATAATCCCCAAAAAAAACACGATTACCCTCCTGTAAACGTTTAGATGTAGAAGGCCCACCATAGACGTAGATAACAGATTTTCCGATGAAACACCACAGGTGTTCCACATCGTTGACAACAGATTCATAACATGTGTTAACCATCGAGAAACATCCCATTTTCATAACCATGTTTGACAAATTCACCAGTTCTCAATGACATCCTATGGAAAAATAAGCAGCCAAAAGCGGGTCTGGAAAACCCAACCGGCAGGCTCTCATCGGAAGCATCTTGGATCCTGACAATGAAAAAACATCGGCAGGGTGTATAATACATGTGTGTGTATACATATACATATATATATCCAAAAAGCAAATATTGGTTTCATATATAATATCAAAATATCATGTGTATATATCTATATAACATATGTCAATCGTATATATATATAGTATAACGTCAAATATCAAGTATAACATATCACATGTGTATGTATTTGTATGTATATATATATATCATGCATATCATATAAAACAAAATATGTCATGTGTATATATATATATATATCTCTCTCATCACGTGTATATGATATATGTATACATATATATATATATGTAAAAGAAAACAATAGCACCTATATCATATATATATCACATATGTGTCATATATGTTTATTGTATATATCATACATATCAGATGTATCATCTATATTATTTTCACATATATACATATTATGTGTATATATATATGAAAAAAATATCAAATATATATATATGTCTAAGATACATTTAATTAAAAAAAAAAAACATACGTGTCAAGGCATCGAGTCTCAAAAAGATCTCAAGACCAGTTTGGAACCAATGTCGTGTGTAGAACAAAACCCTGTAAACCACTATTGACCAAACAAACTATACAAATGCTGGCCACATGTTAAACCTTTTCTTAAGCAAAAGACCTCAAAAAACAATGGATCATATTGTCTGAGAATAATGCGGGATACATACATAATTATACTTGGAGTCAGTTCTAACTCATTTATATACATCATCCTATGAACAACTTGTTGTCATGTCTCTTCAGAGCATTTTGAGATCAAACTGCATAATTTTGAGATACCTTCAGATGCAATTGAGCGGTGGCAAAAACCCTTATTGAATTCTCTTCTGCATGTCATCCGCACCTTCTTCCGCGCTGCTTCTGCGACGACAGTTTTAGTTTCCGCGGATTATTGGTAAGTTGATTCTGCGTCCATGAACTTCTTTTCGGAAAAGAAGTTGATGAATATTGTAAGTTGAATAAACCTTGCTTCAGCGGCCCTTCGGCGATCAGAAGATCAGCTTCCGCTTCCGCAGGCGCTTCCGCGGACGTGGGTTTCACTTCCGCGGACCAACTTAGTTTCATCCTCATATATATATATATATATACATATATAATTTTCTTGCTTGGAGGTTTTCACGCTGCTGAATTGAAGCGTTGCCATTATACATCATCCTGTGCAGACTTGATTTAACGACATGGCTCAAGTTTCGGGAACGCAAAAAAAAAAAACGACAACAAAAAATATTCTGGGGGCCCAGCAGCCTATATATATATGTGTGTGTATGCATATATATATATATCATGTATATATATATATATATTATATATATATATCATGTATATATATATACATCATATACATATATATATGGATAAAGAAACATAAATATAGGGGCCCCGGAATAGATGGCACAAACGGTACAAGCACTAAGATGGCATCAATGAAATTTCAACCTCATATGTTGGTTCAGTGTGTGCCATCTATCGGGTCACGACAAAATGCAAAAAATCTTCTATTTGTAGCTATTTGCAAAAGCCATCTTAAGGGCGCTAAACAAAATAATATATATATATATACATATGACATGTAACATGTAACATGACTTATGAACAAGTTCAAGCATGCAAATATATATATATATATATTATTATCCCCGGAATATGGTGTGCCATCTTTGCAACCTAGAAATCTCTATACTTGTTAAACAGGTCAAGTATACAAGTATCCCGTGGGGTATGCCATCTGTAAACCCCTAAATCCTGTATACCCCATGTTTGCTGCTTTTTGAGCTTAGATGGCATTTTTGACGTTTTTTACAGATGCCAACTATTCGGGGGCCCCTATATATATATATCAAATGTATTCAAATAAAACATTATGTATATGTACATGTATAATATATATATATATTATGTATACATATGTATCATAAAAATGATAAATAAATCATATTATACAAATATCAAATGCTTTATAATGTGTAATATATAAGCAGATGTCGTGTCTATATATATATATGTTGTGTATATATATATATATCATATATGATGATGTATATATATATCATATATGATGATGTGTATATATATTGCCATATATCTATTAGATATGAATATCATACATATGCTATATATTTATATATCATATATCAAATATATATATATCATACGTATATCAATGAATAACATATATATATATGTACATATCTCATTGGTATATCTCTATATGTAAAAATCATATATTTATATATTATCTACAACGTGTATGTATATACAGGCATGTATGCATGTATACTTATTTGTATATATATATATGTATATATGATTATATATGTATGTGTGTGATGATATGATATATGTCTAGTAAAGTATACACGTACATATATATATATATATGTAATTATATGTATATATATTATATCATGATTAAAAAGCTAATATAGACATCTTTGGGATAGACCAATAGCCACCAACAACATGCAACAACGTTACAGCTTCTTTTACATGATTCACATCATGCTGTGTTTTGATGTTCTTTTTGCAAGAAATAAACCTACCATCCCCCACTTGGTTTACCCATATGTTTGATGGTCAACAACCACATTTTCTTGCTGCGAATCCTTACCCAATCAAGGTATCCCAGCCACTGGTAAGTCCTGGTGATCGATGGCTGTCGCTCCGACCTCGCCAATATTCAGTGATCGTCTGGCAGCTTGCATCCGTGACTCCGTTTTTCAAGTGATAGCCAGTGATAGCCATGTTTTTTCACCGTACTTTCACCTGTTCATGCAGTCTGGTCATATCCTCCATGTCTCCTGTCTAAGACTCGTATTTTGATGGTATTTTCTGAACCTTTTGCCCTTTTTGTTGTGCGAAGAATCTCCACATTCTGAACCCAAGTACCACTAGGTTGACCGCTGGTTCCGCTGATTTTCCACTAATGTCCTCTCCGGATTGATAAACCGTTGACGAAATAGGCTGGTTGCAAAAAAGAGTGAATTCTGTCCCAAGTATTCAAAGCCTAGGGGTTGATTGTATAATCCGGGGTTGACATTAACCATAGTTAACATAGTTAACATACCTAGTTAACATAGTTATGTGAATATTACTGTAACCTAATATGCCCCCAAACCCTTAGAGGCTTCCATCCTCATTGCACACCACCTGAAGAGGCTCAGGAGAGGGAAACTCCGATCGGACCGCTCCTGGCATATGATGGACGGATGACAATCATGAGCATGATCATGTTCATTATCATGAAATATCATTATATTATACTATATTATATTTATCATCACTATTCATTCATAAACACAATAATGATTATGGTGATTGTGAATGAATAGTGATGATAAATACTCCGAGCTAATTTGGCAGTGGATAGGTTCCAACCAGTCGTATACCACGGAGATATAGATCGTCTCCACGAAACAGACCATGTCAAGGCCACTCGAGTGGGATGTCAAAACGGGAAAGACAACCAAGGATCATTGATAGATTCTAATGATTCTACACCAATACAAAATAGATCAATAAATAAATACATTGATGTGTGTATAATATATACATGCAACAGTCAGAACACACAAGAATGATATACACAACGACATAGAACCAAAGTTCTATATCGCTAAATTGGGATATGAGAGCGAAATTTCACCAGAAACTGCTTGGTGGTTTCAAATCCAGTTGGTTTATCGATAACCCACGTCGTTGTGCGTTTCCATGATCCCCACGTCCGTCACGTGGTTTTGGATGGTAACTTGGATCCGTTGAACGCTATGTGGCAGCTGCAAAAAGACCCCAATTCCACATGTGTATTGCACGGTCCATGGCCCATGATATGATTCGCTGAAAAAAAATGCAAAGGTCATAAAAATCTCAAGACCCGAATCCCATGGCCCATGGCTTCATCTAAATCCCGACCATGGATGACCATGGATGACCATGGCACTAACATAGTTATTGTTGATGGTTCTCCGTGTGTAAAAAAACAAAAAAACAAAAAAACACTCCAAAATGACATCCACATCGTCCAGTTGACTATCCCGGTGTTTTGGGAAAACGACATTCGTCCTTGTGGCCAGAAACTTGACCAACTTGAAGGAAATTCACCTGGCGAAAAGTGTGGCTTTTGTGGCCGGGAGGGGTTGGCTGATGGTTGGCGAACTTCAGCACCATATGGGGGGTTTCCATAAATGGGGTACCCCAAGCTCGCTGGATGGTTTATTTCATGGAAAGTCCGACCAAAATGAATGATGACTGGGGGTACCCCCATAGGAAACCGAAATATGACCACAGAAAAATGATGTGGGATGATGTGGGACGATAGATGAATATACAGTATAATAACTATATATATAATTATATATATAGCCCGTTTGTTTGTCATCTGATATGGATAAGTGTTCCAGTGATAGCTGGAAAATCAAGCATTCCCCTTAAAATGCTATCATTATGGATGAACATGATGGTGCGGTTTTATGAGGATTAGTCAAAGTGGATTCGGTCGGTTTTCATGTCAAACCCACATGATGATTGGGGATTCGGATGTGGTAGATGATTGTGTATATTTTCAGATTCATCTATGATACCGAGCTATCTATTTCACTGATACATCTAGATCCATCTATGATATCTGCTAGATGTATTGTGATAGATACTGAGATGTACAATGCATCTATCAGCAAGGGTAATTGTGCAGATTGCTGCTGAAAAAAACGAACTGGGCATGGGTCACTTCATCCAGGGTATCGGTGATGTTCATGCCAGGTTAATGGTCCCATAGCTATGGACTCATAAATCAATATCTAGTTCTATACACTATCTATATATTATATATATATACATATATATATATATGTACATATATATATATATATGTACATATATATATGTACATATATCGTGTGTATATAAATATATATATATTGTGAGTAAAGGTATCACCACGTTTATCGGTTTCAATCAAAAGGTGGTTGAAATTCCCTCATCCCATGGCCTGCGGAGACACCTCGCCACGGAAATCCTCAAACCGTGCGGATGACTCCGTAGGGGGAACAAAAATCACTTGCCACCCACCAAAAGGATAGAAAAGTGCCTGATAAATGCAGGAAAACATGGAAAAAACATGGAAAACACCATGTAAATTCAGAAACCAATGCTAAAATCATGGAAATGTGCGTGTCTATGTGTATATATATATACATGTATATGCATATATATATATATATACCGTTTTGGTGGTTGGTAGATGGGGCAGCTATGTTTTTGCTCCCAAGAGTCACTGGCCCAGATCCGTGTCCCATGAAACGTCATCATAGAAGGAAATAGAGAAGCTTTGAACATGATAAATAAGCACATCTGGGATATTTTACTGGGACTAAACCAACCATGGGGACATATAATGAGGATATGGAATGGATATATATATATATCATATATCCTGCCCTCTGGTAAATTAACATAGCCATGGACGATGATCGTTTTTACTAGGTGAAACATTGAACTAAATGGTCCATTTTCCATAGCAAACTGTTTCATTACCAGAGGGTAATTCCCCTCTTCGTTGGAGGCCAAGCAAGAATTCGGAACGTTTTTTCCACATAGTCTGAGGAGATTCCCCACAATAAAACCATTGACAACCTGACAACCTGACACAAGAGTTCTCAGAAACTTCCCATCTCGACAAATGGGCTGAATCTAGTAGTCTTATTTGACCCATCTTTGAAACGAGAACTTCGGATTATACATGCCTACTACCCTTCACCAGCAGTTGGTTTACTCATGTTTGCTCATGTCCGCATTGTTTGCTGCCTGAAATCCAATTCTGGATCATTTGACTCGGTTTACCCAGCCAGATTTCATTGAATCGAAAGTCAAAAGCCTTTTCTCTGTTCACCAGCTTTCCGACTAAATGTATACAGTACCCTCTGGTAAACATACAAAAAACTATGGAAAATCACCAGTTTTCATGGGTAAATCAACTATAAACGGCCATGTTCAATAGCAAACTGTTAGTTTACACAATGAAATCACCTGTGGGCACCCCAAGATCCCGTGGTGGATTTCAGTGTCCCATTTGGGGCACACCCGGAGAGACCCGGGCATATCATATGGTTATATCAATTCCCACATTAATATCCTCATTCATATCTTAAATTCCGATCGATAGTTTATATCTATACAATATATATATATTATATACATGTGTATATATATATGTGTGTATATATATATATATTATATATTATATATATTATATATATATATGTATGTATATATATACTGGCATTACATCCCCATGATATCCCAATTACACCACTATATTCACTGGTTAAATAGTCCCAGGACTCGTCTGCTCCCCATGTCCAGCCCGTTTCAGCCACAGATTTCCGGGTGAATTCCTGGCTTTCACCCCGCCTCCGCCATCGCCTCGAGTGAAGTCAACGTTGGTTGGCCGAAAACCGGGTGCCATTGGAAGTCCTGTTTCTTTGACAAGTTGTTGAAAATTTCTGGACCAAATCCATAACCTTTTTTGGATTGTCAAGCTTTTTTGGATTGTCAACTTTCTGAACCACATCCATGGGAAAAGTTGAAGATCCATAAATGACTCAGTTCTTACCTGTTTTTTTCACCACGAATGCCTCAGACCAATTCCCGTCCAACCTCAGAGGAGCTCTGAAGTAAATCCAACCTGTCTTCCAAGACCTTCAACGCTGAGTAAAAAGTGGGCGACTTATCCCACCAAAAGTTGGGATTTGAGCAAGAAACATGTGGATTGATAGTTGGTTTATGAAAACGGGCGAGTTTTGGTAGGTAAACACTGGGCGAACGCTTGGATTTTTTTTGATGGATATATCATCATAGATAATCAGGATCCTTCATCCCAAAACAGATGAAAAAAGAGGTTCCCAATGGTTAACAATGGTTAATGACTAATGGGATATTAATGGTTAATGATGGTTAATGATGGTTCACCATGGTTAATGATGGTTAATGATTTAAGCCCCATGTAAATATGGAGGTCCCCTTACTATCCGTCATAAAAATGACGAGGTCGTTGTGGATATAGTTTTTCCAAATACCATACCTCCGAGAAACCAGATACCAAAGGATCCGCAAATCTTGTGCCAGAAAAGATGTTTCACTGGAAGACCAAGGAACAAGAGGAGAGAAAGATATGCATACATATATATATGCAAAGATGTATATATATATAGATATATATATATATAGGTACAAATACAGATACATATATATATGTAGATGTTGATATAGATATTCGATATAGATATTATATATATATACAGTATATGTATGATAGATATGTGTATCTATCTATATATATATTCCCAGGTAAACTGCAACTCGAATTGAAATGCAGAGGGTAAGCCTGGTAAGCCAAAAGTCATGCACTATCTTGATGGCTTTGTCTGAAAATCTTGGGACATTTGCCCATTCCAAGATGCTTTCCCATGTATATATCATAAAAAATATGTGTGTATATATATATGTAATATGTATATGTGTATATTATAATATATATATATATATATTTAAACCAACATTCCAGTGACGTTGCGGCGTTTTCTGTTGTAATGAAATTTGACCACCTATAATCCCATGATATCTCATGATATTCCGATTTGACCAGCAGGTTGGTTGGTGAAATCACCATTTCTCGTGCCTTGAGATGGCTTTCTTGCCCGAGGTCGCAGTGCTGCCTCGTCGCGAAGTCAGGGGGATCCCACTCAAATAGCTGTTTTCTGGTGTATAATAGGCTGTAATGATATTGGTGAATATGATACAATGAAATAAAATATGGAATATTGATTCACCAATAAATATTAATAATAATATTCACCAATAAATTTAAAAGATGGTAATATAATAGGTTTTGACCCATGTCCGGAAAGGAGGCAAATTCACCGATTTCCGTGTGGCAAATAATTGACCTACCACGGGTTGGAGCAACCCTCCAAGTGGGACTAAGCCCTCACCCTGGCCTACTGGCTGGGTCACGCCCCGAAAATAGTTGTCTAAATGGCTATTAACTTCTTGGTACAGTTCCCCCGGAGTTCCTTTGAACTGGGGGTTGCTCAAAATTCTGGGTCAACATTAAGTTCACCACCAAGACTTGGATTTTGTTGCATTGATCCTCAAAATGACGGGTTTCTCTATGGTTCCACAGTTTTCCATATCTTTGCAGCCGTTTTTTTCAGCCATGGATGTCATGGTCTGTAGCACATCCAGCAATCGTTTCTCTGTCAACGCAGGAGTCCAGAAAATTCCGTCAACACCTCTTTACAACTTCGACCCTGTTCTTTACCCCCCCCAAAAAAAGGGGGAAAATACGGCTATGGGCTATGGATCAAACCTCAATACCCTGGTTTTCAGATCAAAATAACCAGTGTGCATTGATGTTCATCCCCGTAACATTCTCCGAAAATCATGGGCATTGACCATTCCCCTATCAATACATATCATGCGGTTACGGATCAAAACCCTAGTGGCCCGGTTGTGGAACAAAATAGCTGGTAAAAGGATGTGCATCCGCCCAAACTACTGTATTGATGGATTCCCATCTTGATACGTATATATATATATATACAGTATACAGATATACTGATATCCAGATATACAGATATACATAAACATATACATATACATATACAGATACATATACATATACAGATACATATACGTATAGGTACATCTATGCATGGACACATACACACGTCGTATCCACTACTTGATTGGCTCAAGCCCTGGAAAGCAGCCATCCTGACAGCTGTCGCAAAGCGATGCAGGGCTGAGGAACTTCCACCTGCAGAGCCAGGAGCTCCGTCGGGAAACGGGTACCCGGCCTGGTAAACTAACATAGCTATAGAAAATCACAATTTTTAATAGGTAAACCATCTATAAATGTGCCATTTTCAATAGCTATGTTAGTTTACCAGAGGGTAATTTTCATGAAGCACAGACAGATCGGCGGAATTAGTTCGATCTGGCAACGAGTTTGGCATCTTCTATAACTTCAGTTTATGTACCCACTTATCCAGTAAGGGTTTACAAACCAATTAACTAACTCCACGGCCCACCGAAGTATGGGTATCTTATGGGTACTTAACAACAACAGCGAATGCCTAATCAATGGCGTTTCGCTGTGCATCCCAAACAGCGACCATATCCAGCCAGCACTTACTCAGTGGGATGCACGTCCGCGTACTCAACAAAGTATGGTCCCTATGAGTGCTGTTTTGAACAAACAAGAGTGATCTCCCATCTAGAAAGAGCATACAATCAAAACCAGTGGAGGTCATAAATTGTTGGAAACTAGTTCACTTAATCCTTCGCCAAAGTAGTCACTGTCAAGTCCCAGACTCCCAGGTCATCAGAATTGCCACCATTGCTTGTGAAAACCATCAGTTTTGCACATATATGTATGCCCATTCGTGCTGCTTGCAACTGCCATGTTTGTCGCTGAAACCGCAAATTAAATTTAGGTGCTTCCTCATAATCTGAAAGAACCAGATGGCCCCCTTGTTGTTAAATTTAATATAAATCAAAGACAGTTCGGGCAACACAACAATGAACCAAAATCAAAGAAGTTTATAGTAGCCCCTAAAACTTGGAAATTGTTTACGATTCGGGCTTTACTACAAGATCCTCTGTTTCAAATACAAAGTATATATATATATGTGTAGTGTTACATCATTGTTGTTAAAAACCATCTGTTCCCATTTAATTTATGGTTACTTATGTATCACATGATCATCATTGTATACCCCATTTTCAGAGACACTCAAATCATACTGTATCAAGTTATATATATATACATATTACACCATTATTTACCCTCATTAGATCCCCGAACTAGGATGGTTTTATACCCCAGTTTTCTGATTTAAACCATGAAGTTCACATATACAGGGATGGACTTGCAGTAAATCCCTTTTGAAAAACATATCTATGAATGTTTATACCTTTTTTATGCCTAATTAATCCCAAAAAAATGTGAAACATTAATAATGCCGATGTCATATTTTATTACCCCCATCAATGGTGCACTATCATAAATCCCCACTTTTACCACATTTTCATTGTTTTTTGTTGGGTTATACCATCACAAAAACCAGCTTAAAATCACCACGGTTATGACTCATCATGACCATGGTATAAATCATATGCCATAAAAAATCCATGGGGTTTTCATTCACCGGCAAAATCCAAAAATGGTTTACTCATGAAAACCCTTAACATCCCTTAACCATTGTCATAAGCCCTCATGAAAACCATGGTCGCCATGGAAAAAAACCCATGACGCCTAAAAACATTAAAAGAAACGCCTCCAAGGTGGAGCCGCTCTCGGAGCTTCTCCAAAAGCGCCAACTGACGAATTCGCGAAGAGAACTTTGAGATCTGAGTTTTTAGTTTTTTCTTAGGGAAATATGAATAACTTGAATAACTGACAAGTGTGGGTGACAAGTCTTCTTGCGAACATATTTGATATTTGTTCATGCAGTTTTTACACTTGATTTCTAAAACAAAAAAAGGCATTATAATTACATCGAGTACTTTAGAGAATATCGGGAGTTGGTGGGCAAACCAAAAGAATTATGATTTCAGGGGTGGAAACAGAAAAAACATGTCTTGGGATTAAAAAAAAGTTGCCCAAGACCAACAATGAACGGTTGAAAGCCCTGAATGGTGTATAGACGATTCGAAGATCAGTATAAATCAGTATATCAGTTGAGAAATGTTGAATCAATTGATGCATTTAAAATTTAAAAGTACGACCAATGCCCCTTAATACATGTGAGTCAACTTATAATCAAAAAGGATGGCCAACAAAAATTGGGACGTAAACCGCTCATGATAGTCGAATTCTGCTGAACCTGAGGTCCCCCAACTTGATGACCGTTGGGAAAACCCAAGAATTGCCCAACAACCAGTTGGACTTCCCGGTAGGTCAACATAGCTTGGGCTGGAAAACCTCAATGAGTTCGATGGTTTTGCCATTTCAATGCCCAACTGTTATCAATGGCCATTTCAGGAACCCCCAAAATATGGCCTTACATGGTACAGTACATCCATTTTAGGATCCTGGAATTCCCATTGATGTTACTGGATTTCCCAGTGTTTGATGACACTGGAGGGTATCGAACTTGGGGCCCAGGAGGAAACTTTTCATCCATCCACACGCCTGTGTTGAGATGTGAAGACCAGCGACCTCTCCCAGCCGGGATTCACTACGATGGGCCTTTGCATCACATCTGGATCAATTCTCTCGAAATGTACGCATATGCACACCCGCATGTATATATGTATATATGATATATACATAGATATGTATATATAAATATAATACATAGATTTGTATATCTATATATATATTGATTTATATATATATATAGATAGATACATACGGGGATAAAGAGATATAGAGATATGTACATATATATATATACATACGGGGATATAGAGATATGGAGATATGTACATATATATATATATATATACATACGGGGATATAGAGATATAGAGATATGTACATATATACATATATATACATACGGGGATATAGAGATATAGAGATATGTACATATATATATATATGGATAGACAGATAGATAGATAAATAGAATTAAATAGACATGACAGAGAGATAGATAGACAAATGTCGGTATGACCGTGGCACCTCTTTGACTTCAGCCAAGACAACTTTGTCATCCTGGAGACATGGGAGGCGTTCACTATGGATCGTCCCGGTGTGTCGAAACTGATGTGATTGGTTGCTATTACCAACGTGTGTACCCTTGGTTCCATCCATGTGAAATTCCAGATTGGTTATGTCTGATACTCAAACATGACACTGAAAAATATGGTTTCTTTGGGAAAAAGTCCAATCTTATTGCTGAATTATCTCATAATTCAACATCCTGAAATACGAACTATCCAATTATGATATTAGTAGTACCTCTTATGATGATATTAGTAGTACCTCTAGTAAACAAACATGATAACTAATACAGTTTGATGATGTATAGCAAATGCCTAATATATAGTAATATTACTAATATAGTAATCATCAAAATATGCTATTCAGTTTGATGATTTTCCCAGCTACAAATACCTCCAAAATTGGTGCCGGGATTTCCCTTAGCCACGTCTGATGACACCGGAGGGAGCATCATCCACAATCTATTGAGAAGCAGTCATAAACGGATATAGAACCATAATGAACCATAATGAACCATAGTTGGAAGGGTTATATCCTAACTTACGCGGGTTTATCCATCATAAACAGTTGGTTTTCGCCAACTTTCACAACGTCCTGGCTCTCCAACTGTCGGATGGAACTTCGAAGGGACTCGACCACGCCTGCGTTGCCCCGAGGTCAGCCAAGCGGCAGAATGATGAAGGGAACGTGCCTCTTAGTCAGTCACTTGATAGACTCATTATATATATATATATAAATAAAAATATAAATATGGCATAATATGGCCACCGACAAAATTTTGGAAATGAAAATATCGGAAATTCTGTCGGTGGCTGTGTATATGTATATATATATATATATATATTTGTTTATTGTATATGTGTATATATGTGTATATATGTGCATATATGTGTAGAGATGTGTATATATGTGTATATATGTGTATATATGTGTATATATGTGTATATATGTGCATATCTGTCTATATATATGTGTATATATGTGTATATATGTGTATATATGTGCATATATGTGTATTTATGTGTATATATGTGTAGAGATGTGTAGAGATGTGTAGATATGTGTATATATGTGTATATATGTGTGTATATGTGTATATATGTGTTATATAATATATCAAATGTGTATGCGTATATATATATGTGTATATATATATATGTATATATATGGTACAGGCCTGCAACCCCCGCCCCTCCCCCGCGATGGGGATGGTTCCTAGGATTGGGTGTACTACCTCCCTGGAATCCAATTATCATGCAAGGTACCTCTGCTTCCCCGCCCCCCCCCTGTGGGGTGGGTTGGGTGTAGTATGTATGTATGTATGTCTGTCTGTATGTATGTATGTCTGTCTGTCTGTCTGTATGTATGTATGTATGCATGCATGCATGTATGTATGTATGCATGTATGTATGTATGTATGCATGCATGTATGTATGTATGTATGTATGAATGCAGGGGGGATACATATGTATCGAAACATAAATATATATATATATACACACATATATATGTTTTTCATGTGTATATACATATATACATATATACATATATACATATATACATATATAAATATTTACATATATACATATATACATGTGAGTTTTGTAACTTGCTGCTGCCGCATACACCTTCGATTGTTTCCTGTCAGGGGAAAGCACATTCATCATGTGCCTTTTGACTCGTGGCTCAAGGCCAATTTCAGCGAGATAGGGGAAAAATCTCGAGTGCCGCCATAGGATTGGTTGGAAGGTGAAGAGTGGACTCTTTTGGGATTTGGTTGGATAGATATACATTTTTGGTGTTGTGGACAACACTGTTGGAACGACTTTACTTTGGTTGAACATCAACTACTTTCTGGTGATCAAGGAGGACCTTGAACCATTCAGGTGGGAACTGTTATCAGTGGAGTTGTGATCTACGATCCAACGACACTGGTAGCGGAGCCGAGAGGCTCGTGCTACTTGCACGCAAAGCCGGCCCGCTAGTTTGGTGGCTTCTGGATAGTGAGCAATGCCTCCTAAAGAGTCTGCCTCAACTGATGGGAACGGTGACTCCCAGCAGGGTTCCAATTTTTGGAATTTGCTGCCCAGTTTTGACCCGAGTGAAGATGACATTCGAGAGTTTTCACAGAAAGCCAGGTTCATCCACGGTGTCATGCCCGAGAAGGACAAGCCCAACTTAGCTCCCAGGTTAGCTATGTTGTGTAAAGGGACAGCTTAGTCCCAGGTGCGTCAGTTAGATCCGAAGAAGCTCACCAAGGCCGACTCAGGTGTTGAATACTTGTTGGCCGCTTTGTCAGCTTGGGAAGAAACATCAGAGATGAAAACGTATGAACTGTTTGAACGAGCACTCTACAAGGTAGTACAGAAGTCTGATGAGGCCTCCCATAGTTTCTCACTTCGCCTTCAAGCTGCATTCAATGAGATAGGTGATGATGTCACTGTCAAACAAATGCAAGCCTTCGTGATGTTGAGACAGTCAGGTTTGTCGTCGAAGACAAAAAGAAAATCCTGACGATGACAGGTGGTAAGCTGGATCTGACCGCAGTTGACCAAGCCATGAGGTCGTTGTCCACACGTGTGTTGATGGGTCCTGGTGAAGCCAAGAAAAAGATTTACCCGATCAATTTCTCAGAGGTGGAAGAGCCACCTACCCAATCCGATGAAAGCCTTCCGGTTCAAAGCACTTACGTTGCATACCATGAGGAAGAGGATGTTTTGACAACCGAGCATCTGGAATACCTAGTGTCTCAGGGAGATGAGGATGCCAACGTAGTGCAACAGTTTGAGCGTGATTTCGAAGAGATGCTGCAAGAGATTCCTGACATGCAACAAGCAATGGTCTCATACAATGAGGCTAGGCAGAGGATCAATGATCGCCGTCGCAGCCGAGGGTTTTGGCCCACTGGAAAAGGAAAAGGGAAAGGTGGGTTCAAAGATGGCTCCCGGCCATACCGCAAAGGTGTTGGAAAGTCTGGAAAAGAAGAGTTGTTGGCTCGCATTGCAAAAACGCATTGCAAGCTCTGCGGCGCCCTTGGTCATTGGCGCGCAGAATGCCCTCAGAGGAAAGAAGCCCGTGAAACTGCCAACGTTGCCTTCTCCATGCCTTCCGAAGCATCCGATGCCGAAGAGGAGACCAGCCAAGTGGTCTTTGAAGAGTTGAGTGAACAGGAGTGCACCCGTTGTGAAACATGTTTCGTTGCCTCATGCTACCGAAAACCAGTTTTCTGCGAGCAAAATGTTGAAGACGTGAAAGCCTTTTGGGGTAAGAAACTGAATAAGCCGGGGTATAAGCGGGGTAATAAAGGGGTAATTGGGGATAAAGGGGTAACCAAAAACAGTGGTCCAGAAAACAGCCTGAAACCAGCAGTGGTGACCTCAGCACCCAACACCCGTGCCGCCAGGAAGATGCATCCGAGACCAACCAATAGAGCCGATGGTTTTGTCAGCCAGAATCACTCAGATGCCATGCAAAGTCAAGGAATGGCCATACTGGACACAGGTGCCAGTCGCAGTGTGATCGGACAAGACCATGTCCCCGCGATGCTCCAAAAACTGCCAGCCAGTGTCCGTGACCAAGTCGTGGAGAAACCCAGCAGAGTAGGTTTCCGTTTTGGAAATAACCAAGTTGCATATAGCTACAAGCAGTTACGCATACCATTGGTCCACAAGGGAATCCGAATTTGGTTGCTAATTGAAGTAGTGCCGAAAGCCACACCTTTCCTGCTGTCAATTAAGACCATGAAGAGTTTAGGAGCTATGATAGACCTAGGGCAAAACACATGTTTCCTCAAGACGTTGCAAAGGTCACTGTATTTGAAAGAAAACAAGAATGGGTTGTTCATGATTGACATGTCCGATCTTTGTCAACCTGATGTCAAGTCCAATGCAGCAGCTTTTGTCGCATCAAGTGTCTGTGTCCCGCCTCCAGGTCTGGAAAGTGAAATTCCTGCCAGTCATGCCGACCCGTCAGGAAGTGCTCGATGCTCTTCGCACAGTGGCAGAGGAAGTGTTAGCCAGTCTGAAGCTCCTAATGACCATCGTGTTCACCATGACCAGTGCGATCGATCCGAACCAAGAAGCCACGGAGCTCCAGATGAACCCTGTGAATCAGTTGATTCACGAAGTGGCCCAGCAACATCGGACGATCGACCAGTTGGGGAATCTGATTCAAGCTCAGTTCCAACAGAAGCCACCCACATGTCCAGGACCTATAGTGAGCCCTGTGAACCACGTTCCAGGATCAGAAGATTTCGAATGGGAAGCCGAGATGGTGCCGTCACAAGGCCAAGCTGCATCAACGGTGCCAAATTCTTCCCAATCGATGCCTGCTGTGATGATGAATGTCAGAGCTCCCAACAATCAGCCTCCTCCAATGCCAGTGAGACAGCCCATGCCGCACGTGTCAATGACACCAAGTGCCCGACCGCCAGCTGCAATGATGGGAAGCCCAGGATCGTCTTACGCAGCTTCCGAGATTGGAAGCCAATTGATGGTGACTCAAGCATCCCTCGAAAGCTGGGGAAACAAGATCGTGGGCTTTGGCAAAAAGCACCTGAGGTCTCGTTACGCCCATGTGTACGAGTCCGACCCAGGTTACATCAAGTGGATCTTGGCCAGAGCCGACAACCTTTCCGAGGATGTGGCGGATTTCGCAAGCTATGCCCGAGCTCGCAATCAACTGGAGCAATTGGCCAACAACCCGGTTCCATGAGAGGCATTTGGGAGGGATTTCAAGATTCTAGGATGTCACATAAATCTAGTTTTAAAGAAAGACAATTGTGGACTGAGATGCAACAGTCAGAATGTGGAAAGAGCTTTCACAAGTCAGAACAGTTGGACATCCTAGAAGTGCATGCGTTCCCTAACAGCATGTTGACCACTGTGGCACAAGAACATGGTTTGCGAGCAAGGAGGTTTACATATGAAGATGGGGATTTATCGACATCTACTCACATCATCAAGACACAGAGACCAAAACATATTTGGCTTGCCCCGGAATGTGGTCCTTGGTGTGCCTGGAACCGCTTTAATTCCATGCGAAGCCTTTCTAGTTATGAACAAGTCATGCACCAACAGCGTCTTGCCAAAGAACACTTGGTATTGTGTAATGTGGTAGCTCAGATTCAGCATGATGAGGGTCGACACACCCATCTCGAAAGCCCCAAAACCTCCGGCGTTTGGAAGCAGCAGGAGATACAGCCGTTTTTGAAGCGTTCCATTCCGGCCCAGCTGGACCAATGTGCTTTTGGCCTGAGACATCCAAGTGAAAATCAGTTGATGAGAAAATCCACTCGCATACAAACCACCTCAGTCGAAATGTTTTCTGTTTTGGACTGCCGTGTTTGCAATCGTGAACATAGTCATAGTACCATAGCAGGAAGATGTCAGTGGAAGGGCCATAGCATTTCCGTGTCCAGGTTTGCTGCTTTCTATCCACGCAAGCTTGCGCTGACCATGGTCCGTGGAATCATGCAAACATCCCAAGGCCTCTATGAGGCGCCAATTTGCCATGTAGATGAAATAGAGCCGCCTGCCAAAAGGGCACGTACCAACTCTGGTGAAGCCTCTGCACCACACGACACCACGAACGTGTGGAAACCAATGTTTGGATTTCTACAGAGAAAACTTCCCAAATCAGGTGTTGTCACTTGGGAAGACCCGCAAGATGAAGTCTTCCAGGAAATTCAGAAACTGTTTCCACATGAGAACATTGGTGCAGTCAAAGCAGGAAAAGGCCTAGATCGTCTTTTGTTGGGCGAAGAGGCTTGGAGAGATCAGCTGCCGAAAAGACATAGCATAGTACAGAAAAGATTCACTCATGAAATAATTGACCTAGGACTTGAAGTTTGGAGTGAATTAACTCGGAAAAGGGCTTGTCGAAAAGAGGTGCCAAGCCATATCATGTTGTGTTTGTTTTCCAGAGATGACAGCCGACCTGATACACCTATAATGCCAGCAGCCGATCCCGCCAATAGATCAATTGAGACAAAAGCCGCTGAATCAACAGCCAGTCCACCAGTGCAGGTAGATGTGCCCAGCTGGACTCCTTTAAGTGCCACTGTTTCAGGCCCAAATTTCCTGAAACTTACTCGAGAGCAACAGTCCATGTTGCGCAAGATTCATAATAATCTAGGACACCCCACAGCCGAAAGACTGGCCCGACATCTAAAGGAATCCAAAGCACATGAACACCTGGTGGAAGGTGCTGCCGACTTTGTGTGTCCGTCATGCGCTGAGAGACACCCACCACAAAAGACTACTCCCGGCCAACTCAAAGACCCGAAGGATTTTAATGAAAGAATTCTTTTGGATGGTTTTGACTGGTGTAGTAAAAGGGGTATTCAAATCTATGTGTTCCATATCCTAGATGATGCTACCCGTTTCCATTTAGGTCAAAGGATAACCCGGGATACCCAAGCCTCCATCCGTACAACGAAACAGATGTGGATTCAATGGGCAGGATCCCCACAGGAAATACTACATGATCAAGGTGGAGAGTTTGTATCCCAGCCATGGAAAGATTTTTTGCAAGCCCACAGCATTCAGCCAGTGCTCACTGCCGCTCCGTGGCAACGTGGTCGTATCGAGAGGCATGGAGGTGTGATCAAGGAAATGCTTGAAAGAATGGACCATGCACAGAACTTCAACAGTCTAGCTGAAATAGATGAGGCTCTTAACCAGTGTTTCCGAGCGAAAAATTCTATGATAGTGAATAACGGATATAGTCCAGAACAAGCTGTACTAGGTAAGGCCTCTAAACTTCCTGGGTCACTACTCTCAGACGAAGAATCAACTGCTCATCACATGTGCCTTTCACCCGACCCAGCATCCGAGCAGTTTAAGCGAAGTCTTGAATTGCGGACAGCCGCAAGAGCAGCTTTCTGGCATGCTGACAATCATGCTGCAATTCGCAGAGCAGCCCTTCATAGGTCACGAGGTGTGATACATGAATGGCTGTGTGGACAGTTGTGCATGTTTTGGGATAAACGAAAAGCCCCGAACATATTGGAGAAAGGACGATGGTGTGGTCCAGCACAGGTAGTTTGCCAGGAATCAAGAACAATCATATGGATCACTCACATGAATCGGTTGTTAAGATGTGCCCATGAAAATCTCAGACCAGTTTCCATGCGTGAATTTCAAAGACACTCCACTTTTACAACTTCAAATACCCAAGAAGAATTGAAACAAATGGCACAACGTTTACGGACACAGTTGAAAGAAAAGAGTGGCATGTTTCAATACTCCGATTTATCTGAGGTGAATCCTCCAACAGAAGAAGAGGCAAACGATGGCAATAGCGAACTTTCGACCTCTCGACAACCAGAGGAAGAACCAATCAGACGCCAACGAGGTGAGATCGAAATTCCTGACGAAACCATGCACGACCCTGCGGTCGAAACGCCTGTTCCAGACTCCCCGTTTTCTTCCAATAGTGAAGAAAGCCCTGAATCAATGGTTCCAAGCCCGAGCCTGGCACAATCTGCTCCTGACACTGCATCATTGGACACAGATCAGTCGGAAAATGAAACTCCGAGTAACATGGAACCTGTGTATAATGCTGTTATCATCGAGAAGAATACCGAGACGACAGACTGTGTTCATGACGATGGCGCTCTTTGGTCAATGCCCGACCCTTGCGAAGCAGCGTGTGTGTCTTTTGAGTTTGAAATGCCAAAACAACAATTCCATAAGTTCCTCAAATCTCCCAAAGAGCACCTGCCAGAGGTCAATGCCGCAGCCCGCAAGTTTGGGAAAGAACTTGTTTACAGTGACTTGACACCCCAAGAGAGAGAGAGGTTCAAGCAAGCCAAGTTGAAGGAATTGAATTGTTGGTTGGATACTCAAACGGTAAGAACCATAGTTCGGGATAAAATTCACCCCTCCAGAGTTTTAGCCTCTAGATGGATACTGACTTGGAAGGAAGATGAAAATAGCGAAGATGGAAAGAAACCAAAAGCACGACTTGTGGTAAAAGGTTTTCAGGACCCCGACATTGGGGAATTAGCATCCGACAGTCCCACTCTCACCCGAGATGGTAGGATGTTATTACTCCAGACAGCTGCCAGCCACAAATGGTGTATTGAAAGCTTTGATATCACTACTGCCTTTCTACGAGGGAAATCCGATGATCGTCAACTAGCAATGGAACCCCCAAAGGAGTTGAGAGAACTGCTTGGAATGGAAAAACATCAGATCTGCCTACTAGAAGGAAATGCTTATGGACGGGTAGATGCCCCTTTGTTATTCTATCGCGAATTTCGGAAATGCTTAGAAGAAGTAGGTTTCACCGCACATCCCTTGGACAATTGTTTGTACTTGTTAAGAGACCCCAAAGATCCAAAGATCCTCAATGGGATAGTGGGTACTCATGTGGATGACGGTTTGGGGGCAGGTAACCACAAATTTAGCTATGCCCTACAACAACTTCAGAAAAAGCTTCCTTTCGGCTCACATGAAAAACGCAAATTCCGTTTCACAGGACTTGAAATAGAACAGTTGCCGGATTTTTCTATCAAAGTTAGCCAAGAAAAATATGTCCAAAGAATAACTCCCATAGACATCCCTAAACTCCGTAGAGCAGAAGTTGATAGCCCTATCACTCCACAGGAGTTAAATAAACTAAGGGGGATTTGCGGGAGCCTACAATACGCCGCAGTGCATTCCCGGCCCGATGTGGCCGCAAAAGTTGCGCACCTGCAGAAGGGTATTACCAAGGCGACCGTGCAAACTCTGCTAGATGCAAATCGAGTACTCAAAGAAACCCAAGAGTTTGCCAACACCTCTGTGATCGTACGTCCGATCCCCATGACGGAGCTCTGTTTCGCAAGCTTTGGTGATGCAAGCTTCGCTTCGGCCAAACAGATGTCAGCCCAGCAAGGGATTTTTATCATGGCATGCACACGGAAACTAGCAAACAATGAGACGACAGACTTCTCTCCAGTTGCATGGCATACCAAACAGATTGGTAGGGTGGTTCGTTCTACTTTGAGTGCCGAAGCATACGCTATGTCCAGTTCACTAGATAAGTTAACGTGGATTAGATGCATGTGGGGTTACATAAAGGATCCCTCTTTTGCTTGGCATAAACCTGAAAAGTCTCTTTGTGTAGAACCACCAGGGTTAATGATCACTGATTGTAAATCCTTATATGACTTAGTCACGAAGACTGCAGTGCCAAATTGCCAGGAGTGGCGTACCACCATAGAAGTCATGTTGCTGAAGGAACAATCAGCTAACCATACCCAATGCCGCTGGATCAGCACTGCTATCATGTTGGCAGACTGCCTAACGAAGTCCATGGACTCAACTTTCTTACGCACCGTTTTGCAGTTGGGAAGATTCAGAATCTACGATGAAGAAATGACCCTCAAACAGAACTCGAATCGAAAATATGGTGTCACATGGGTGAAACAATCGAACATAGAAAAGAGACCAGTGTGAGTTTTGTAACTTGCTGCTGCCGCATACACCTTCGATTGTTTCCTGTCAGGGGAAAGCACATTCATCATGTGCCTTTTGACTCGTGGCTCAAGGCCAATTTCAGCGAGATAGGGGAAAAATCTCGAGTGCCGCCATAGGATTGGTTGGAAGGTGAAGAGTGGACTCTTTTGGGATTTGGTTGGATAGATATACATTTTTGGTGTTGTGGACAACACTGTTGGAACGACTTTACTTTGGTTGAACATCAACTACTTTCTGGTGATCAAGGAGGACCTTGAACCATTCAGGTGGGAACTGTTATCAGTGGAGTTGTGATCTACGATCCAGCGACATATACATATATATATATAATATATATATATACATATATATACATATATACATATATACATATATACATATATACATATAGACATACACACATATATACATATACACATATACACATATATACATATATACATATATACATATATACATATATACATATATACATATATACATATATACATATATACATATATACATATATACATATATGGGGGGGATACCATCGGGGGGGGGGTGCAGGCCGCCGGCCGGGACCATATATATATATAAATACATGTATAATATATCCGTGTGTGTGGGACAACCATGTCCCTTTCTTGGCCCAATGCTTGTCACGAACTCACCGAGATTTACCCAAGTTCATCCCAAGATTAATAACCTCCAAATGCCCCAATAAATCCTGAAAAAAAAACTGTAAAAGATCAAACATGTTTACACAAAGGTTGAAAATCATCGCAGATTCCTGGGCGATTTACTGGTTGTTCATTTTTTCCTTCATTGAAATACCCCAAATTGGGGAGGGGCCGTACCACACTTTCACACACCCAAAATATGATATTTTTATGCATCATATCTGCAGTATTGACTCGTTAAATCTCTCTTTTTGCTGTTAAACGATTCCCATCTTGAGACACTTCCCAAACATCATGGTGTTACAGTATGCCTATATTATCCCATACATCAAATGTCTATCCAATTCCAGCTGGATCACTTTTTTAGCGCATTTAAAGATATGTTAAGACTTATATCGATGATATTCCTATGACTGTTGGCCCATTTCAAACCATGCCTTCGAGGTGCCGCCCTTCTTCGCTCAGAACTTTCACTTTCCCATCGCACCAACTCTGCCTGGGCACCACATCTGCCGGCATTGCGGTTTTGAGCCATGGTTTATGGATGTCATCATGGTCATAAAATGTCATATCATAGATAAATCTAAATGATGGTCATACAATGTCGGATAAATCCATTCAAACCATCCCGTAAAACCCATCACTTCAGGGGCGCAACATCATCCTTGTCGATAACCCTGAGATAGGTGTATCTGCACCTCCCCCCCCCAATATAGTTACAATTGGTTTTTGACCCATCCCCATGTCTTTGTCTGGTGACTGCCCATATGGCTGAATCAATTCCAGAAAAAACCGGGAATATGGATGTGAGTACTCCATGTGAAACCCTGGAAAAAGGGTGCACTATCATGACCTGGTTTTCAACCTGGGAATTTGCGGCAAACCAAGCTGGAGGGATATGCAACCACAGCTGTGAGAATGGAGATAAAACCAACAATAGTTGTGATGAGTTCGCAGATCAGACTGGTAGGTGTGTCCTTAAGTGGGGCATGCACCGTCCTCAAATAAGAAAACCCAGCTCTTCAAATGGACGGTGAAGCAGGTTTTGTTCAGAGTAACTTAAGGTTTTCTTCGTGTGACTTTGCTACCCCTCATTCTTTATCACTCAACAACTTCACAAGTTTGCCAAGTTTGCCGTGACGGAAGATTTGGGTAGTGGGATCATCATCCCAATTGGGAAAATCGAAAGTATTCACCACCGGAATGGAAAATCAAACATGGCAAGGGGGAAATCCCTGATAAATCGAGGTTTTAATCGGAAATCACTGTGTGTATATATATATATATATTTATTTATACACACATACAGTATATATATATATATACAAGGATTTTTTAGCAAACCATGTTTGATTACCAGAGGGCACATAATTCGTGAGAGTTAGAGGCTTTGGTTTCTCACGGATGAGATTTGATGTGTTCAACCGGGAACCTTTTTGTCATCCTTCCCCGTGACAGTGGTTTCCTGCAATGTGGTACACCCACAATCCATCCCCAATAGTGATAAAAAGAGTGCCTTAGCATAGTGTTGAATGTACGACTCATTAATCAGAGAATGTCGTCTGGCAAATAGATTGCGCAACATCCCCTATATTCTCTGAACCGGTATGTATGAGCCATCCCAAATAGGAGCATATATTTATGAAATTTATGGGCCAACTTGGGTCCAAAAAGAATAGTTTCTGGTCCAAGACGTACTGTCAATCAGATCTTGGCTATATATACCATCTATGTATGTATATATATTTATATACATATATGTTATATATATATATACATATGTTATATATATATATAATTATATATATACATATATGTTATATATATATATATACATTTTTTGTTTTGGCGTATTTTCACGCATGAGTACCAGTAGTGCCGCACAAGGCGGTGGCGGAAGTTTCAAAAATCAGAAACCTATAGGAGAGGTTGGTTGTTGTGACTCACGGATGGCAGGGCGAATCCACTGATGGACCGAAAGCTGGTTGGAGTTGTGTTTTTTGGAGTGGTTGCAATGGTTGCAGTGGTCACCTCACCACAACTGCTGGATGTAGTGTGGTGCAGTGCAGTTGTAGTTGTAGTTGTAGGTGTAGTTGTAGCTGTAGTTGCCACAACTGCTGGACGTAGTGTGGTGCAGTGCAGTTGTAGTTGCAGTTGTAGTTGTAGTTGTAGCAGTAGCAGTAGTTCTCCACGATGGCATCATCTTTAGTCGCGCCGACGCTTGCTTGTGTCTTTGCTGCTTGCTGCGGCGCCACTTTCCTGAGTTGACTCCCCAGGCGTGTCTGCGATCGCTCTCACGAATGTGCGAATGCTGTCGCGGTCTGCTGGGTCCAGTGGTTTGATGTTGTTCTCCAGCTGAACCTCGCTTTGTCGCGACGATTTCAATTTGCCTTCCCAGACTTTCTCAAGTCCAGCAGGGAGACCTGCACCAACCAATTGTAGTAGTAGTAGTAGTAGTAGTAGTAGTAGTAGTAGCCGTAGCCGTAGTCGTAGTGGTAGTGGTAGTGGTAGTGGTAGTGGTAGTGGTAGTGGTAGTCGTAGTCGTAGTCGTAGTCGTAGTAGTAGTAGTAGTAGTAGTAGTAGTAGTAGTAGTAGTAGTAGTTGTAGTAGTAGTAGTAGTAGTGGTGTAATTGAAGTTGTAGTTGAAGTGTAGTTGTAGTGTAGCTGAAGTTGTAGCTGCAGTTTTAGTTGCAGCTGTAGTTGCAGTTGCAGTTGTAGTGCAGTTGTAGTAGTTGTTGCAGTTGTAGCTGTAGTTGCAGTTGTAGTTGTAGTGGCACTTGTAATTGCAGTTGTAGTTGTAGTAGTTCGAGTTGAGGTTGTAGTTGTAGTTGAAGTGTAGTTGAAGTTGAAGTTGTGGTTGTAGCTGCAGTTCTTTTAGTTGAAGTGTAGTTGAAGATATCGTTGTAGTGGTAGTGTAGTTGTAGTTGAAGTTGTAGTGTGGTGTAGTGCAGATGCAGTTGTCTATCTATCTGTCAATCTAGGTATCTTTTATCTATTCATTTGTTTTTCTGTTTATCTATTTATCTATCTATCTATCTATCTATCTGGTCTGGTCTGGTCTGGTCTGGTCTGGTCTGGTCTGGTCTGGTCTGGTCTGGTCTGGTCTGGTCTGGTCTGGTCTGGTCTGGTCTGGTCTGGTCTTGTCTTGTCTTGTCTTGTCTTGTCTTGTCTTGTCTTGTCTTGTCTTGTCTTGTCTTGTCTGTCTGTCTGTCCCTGGCTGTCTATCTGCAAGCTTGAAAACGCAGCTATTTTGCGACACTTCCTCAATTTTTGAACTTGACAACATCCAAGAAATTCTGCGAGACTTCCTGAAGTTTGGAACTTGACACCATCAAAAACGAAACAATTCTGCGAGACTTCCTCAATTTTCGAAGTTGACAACATCAAAAACGAAGCAATTCTGCGAGACTTCCTTCAAAAATGGAAAGTTGAGTGCAGAGCTGACGGCCTCGTACCAATGCGTTTGCGATTTTTCCACTCCACCTGCCTAAAGTACTGCGCCTGCCATGAAAAAGTGATGTCAGGTCATACGAAGTGCTGCACCCGTCACGCAAAATCATCTCAGCAAACCTGAAGATCTGATGCTCCAAAGTGCAACCCCTCTCAGGAAATCAGCACCCCGACCTCCTAACAACCTGGCAGCCACACGTCGGCGCGTGGCCCCACATGCGCAACTTTCCCTTGAAGCCAGCGCTGCGAAGCAAAGGGCACGTGATTCCTGTTTATCCCGATTGCGTAAAGATATATATATATATATAATTTTATATATATACATAAATATTTATATATATATATATATAGTATGTACTGTAATGTATTACCACTTCTACTTGCCCCCATGATTCAGCTCTTACATCGCTGCCTGGTTTTTTGCCACAACTTCCCCTCAGTGAACTCCTGGGAAGTCTTCCTGCAGCTCTCCAGTCCACGGGGACTCAACAAATGGATAGACATGGGGATTGAAGTTCAAAAACCCAGAAACCTGGGAGATTTCAACCATGAATCGTAGACTTTTCCTAGATTCGAATGGACCCACTTCCGGATTTCATGCTTTTGCTGGGAACATCTACAGGAAACCATGATGTTACCCGTAAACAACCTCGATTCGGATGCTCCTCTCGTGATCTGAACCTCTATAGAGGGCGACTTCCCCTCGAACTTACATTAAGAGGTTTCTGAGGTTTCCTAAGTCATGGGCAGTCAAGGGGGTACCCCTAAATCATCCATGTGATTTTCGGTTATTTTCGGATTTTCTATGAAATAAACCATCCAACTATTGGGCTGCCCCTGTTTATGGAAACCCCTGGTTTCTAAGTTGTGGGACGTCACGAAGCGACGAAGCGCTTCCCTTGCATTATGGCATCATTTTGTGATGGTCCCTTTGAAGTAGCCTTTTAATACTATTTCATGCATGGAGAAATGAAATGATTGTTGTTGGCAATATGTCTCATGTGGTGAACAGTATAAGAAAGTGCACCGAAATGAACGATGTGGACTTTTCTGGAAGTAAATCTTACCCTCGGTGTCATCAAACATGGAAACAGAGAACCCACTAAAAATTGGCATTTAAGTGGAAAATAACATCGAACTATGTAATTGACAGATTTTTCAGCAAGCATTCGGCAAGCCACATTTCATTACCAGAGGGTAAGAGAATTGGAAGTTTTTGTCGAGTTTATCACCGTGACTGGGTAAGAGACCGGGAACCCTATATGGCTAGTTGACCAATAAACTATTGCTAAGCACGTCCTAACCACATATGCTTAGATAGCGTTTAGTTTAATGGAAAAGTCATAAGAAAACTCTGGGTAAATTATCATAAAAGCTCCTCAACCTGACATAAGACCATTTTGAATAGTTTAACTCGTGACGTGGTGACGTCGTTATAACATGTCATATCCCACTCCAGTAAGTCCTTGATAGGTTGTCATATCATCCGTTGGAGTCCAGTCCTAATTGCATGGTAATTGTATTCCACGAAACGGTGTGAAATGGATACCTTTTTTTTTTCGGACAGCCCTTTTTTTCCATCCAAAAATCCATCGACCGGAAAATACGCCGTTCTGTTCTTGGCATTCGACTCGAGTTCGTGGTTCTCCATGTCCACTGGGGATGCTGATCATTTTTTCATCAACGAAGAGAGTTTGTCCATGGTTTTGTCCCTTAGAAGTGCCATTCTAAGATTGGAAAAGCGATGATATATTGCATAGATTCTATAGACCAATGGCTGCAATGGATTCATGGATCCTTCCACTCCCTTAATTGAACATTGAACCCCAATTGAATGGTTCGAGGTTGACTCAGGTTGACATCTTCCGCAGTGTTTCACTTGGGATTAGATGTGCTGCACTGCTGCACCATCCATGTCTTGGTCTGAGAATTGGCTACCCAAAGTTGGTCCCCAAAAGCTAAAATAGCAGCTAAAAGAGTTCATGCAACAATGACATTCTGGGCAATGCCCTACTGTTGGTTTAGTTATCTCATTGTTTTTGTGCCCCCATGATGTCCCCATGATGGTTGGTCTTGTATCCCGATTTTGTAGGGTCCCAGAAGGAACAACAACCCCGCCTCTGCAACTCCCCCAGAAACACTCGCAGCTCATCATTCTCCTGTAGGCAAAGTTAAAGAGTCGATTTCCACAGACAAATCAACAAAATGATATTGTCTTCTGTTGATTTCCCTTCCAAAATGCTGTAAGGATAAGTGGAATAAGCAATGATGTTGTCAGCTGCAGCAACAACAACAACAACAACAATAACAACAACATGATCCGTCTGCGGAAAATCGCAATAATGTCAACCTTGAGTTTACTAACATGGGGACAGCCATTTCAATTCTGTTAGTTCACTAGACAATTTCCAGGACCGCCCTAATAAAACCGGGAGGTTATTCATCCGGGGTTGGCATTACTGGTTTTTAGTAGTTCCCAAAGAATATGTGTGACGTATCCCCATCAAGTCGTTTACACACACTAACCTAGTGGGAAAACTCCAACGTCTAAATGTATGTATATGTATGTATATACAAGGGACATAGATGGAGGATGCCCCAGCTATAACTGGAGGCTAAATATCACTATATTTCATCATGTATCAGGATCATAGCGGGTAAGAAAAACAGGGCCAACCGGCCAACCATGGACGTCCTTGGACGGGAAACACCTCAACTGGTCCCACTTGCCATGTCACCACATCAATCCACCTCGACGGCAGTTGAGGATGTCAAGCATGCTCCGGCAAGCACCTGGGCGTCGGAGCCTGGTATCTCTGGCAACCTCAAGCCATAAGGAGTCTGGACCGGGTCTTACCGCTAGTATGCTTTCATATGTTTGTAGGTCTATAGAAATGGATGACAGTGACTCGGTGTATGCAATGGATAAACAGTGCATCAGCCGCGTGCTTACAGCCGGGTGCCGTAACGCAGCATACGGCACTGAAGCTTGTCACATCATCTGGTATTCTCTTTTTGGTATTCTCTTTTCCCAGCAGATAACATGATAATCCCCTACAATATCAAGGGTAGGCTATATATGAGCCCAAAAGTTTGATCTACCAATGATTTACTCTACCAGGTAGACTCTACCATGTGGTTTCTCCGAAATTGGCAGCCACCTGAAATTGCATCCAAGCACCAAGTCTGTTGATGAATCTCCCAGTTTGAATGGATCAAAACCCCGGTTTCCTCTAGTTTACATCCCAAAAAAGTGACCACAATTGTCGTCATGTTGGCTACCGCAACTTCTCTCAACTACCACGAAAAATGGTCGCCCAGATCTTGGCGGGATGCTGATGCTGAGCCGCAAGGGGGAAATTCCCATGGTCAAAGATGCCAGTTTTAAGGCCAAACAAGCCACTTTCCGATGAAATCTAAGTTCCAAGCTCTCCAAGCTCTCCACATCACCTCAGGGTCTCAGGGTCTTGTTGGAGACAGGAAGTGCCTGTCAAAATATAGAAACCAAAAATTGAAGATCAAGCGAAAGCTTTAAACTTTTGGAGAGAACAGCCAACAACTTCAGGAGAAAAATGGGTCTGAATCTGAAATGATAACCTAGCAACTGCTAAGGATCAGATGTTTACAGTTTACAGTATACGAAATTTCAGGCAAGCGAAGTGGCTGTATCCTTACAATGCTCTAGCCGCATTTATGTTGCTTTGCAAAGGCCAAGCAACAAGCAGAAAAAATAGCTTTGCCAAGACATGATTTCCCGTGGATACCTGTGAAATGTGCCATAAATGCTATAAATTCGGGGCCCGCCCATACCCCATTTTGAGACTAACCCAACTCACATACTGTTTGTTTTATGATCGCGTATTTTTATTAATCCCACATCATTTCCAGTCAGAAAATCTTCAAAAAATAAGCCAAACCCCAAGAATTCCCCATAGTTTGTTGCTTACATCAGCTACATCCCCCATCTTTTTCGGTTACGTCCCCAGGCCGGAACGAGGCCCCAGCGCAGCAGCGGTGCACTTCATTCCCCGAGCCAGGCTGAGCAACAAAATGGTTGAAGTGGTGGGTTTTTAATCCCAAAAATATGTAGGGATTCACAGAAAATCTTAATAGTGATATTAATGACTATGTTTACTCACCATTAGTATCTATTCATCCGTATATTGACTGATTGGCTGAGATAGAAAAATCCCGGTAAATACCAAATTAGATGAAAATGGGGACAATATATGACAATATGATCATTGGTTTTATCTCAGCCAATCATAATCATCCCTCTGTAGTTCAAAACACTGTATAATGTGAAACCCAGATAGTGAGATACACCTATTTTGTCAACCTCAGATTTTGATTTCCTCCTGGGCTGTTGAATTGGGTGGTACCATTGCAGCTAATTATCACTGGGGAACCCCCTAACTATATAATCAACCCAGGTTTATTCATTTGGGGTTGACTGTTGATCCCTCATAACATTAGCACCGCTGCTACATAGCTCCTCTGTATATACTGATGACCGATGCCCGTGTTTCTTGTGACAGGGAGCAGCGAAACAACGATGGGAATGGTTCGCCAACAATCATGGGGCTGAAAACGGAGTACCGGGCACAGTTGATCTGTCATTCGTTGCATTGAAGCAACGATTTTTGTGTGTAAGCGGTGAACTCACTTTCCAGGGATGGGATTTGGCGCCATCACTTCACCGATCCAAGGGCGCCCATTTATCGCGACATGTTTCGACCCTGTGCTTTGCAGTGTCGTTTGAAGTTGCTGTCGCAAAACTTATGGTCGCAATTTCAGATGTTGCAGATACAATGCAACCAAGACCATGCCACCACCGTCCACGGCTGAAGATTTTGCTTCAGTCGGGAAAAAAAGGTGGAAAATGGAACCAGAATCCTTGGTGCAGACCAGTTTCCCCTTGAGGATTTCTGGTCAGAAACAAGCGCAGTGGGTGAATCCTGACAGACCCCGACGATACCATGGCGTCCTGAATCCTGTATACTGTATATGGAGGTTTCCATAAATGGGGGTACCCCAAAATGAATGGTTTGTAATGGAAATTCCTATTAAAATTGATGATTTAGAGGGTACCCCCATTTCAGGAAACCCCCATATTTGTGTTCTTTTCAAAGAAGTGATTGTTGGGCGCGCTTTCAGATTTCACTTGGGTTCCGATCCCGCACGTGTTATTTCCGAACAAAACAACAGCCTCAAACCCCAATTGATGGTTGGTCGTTGCATTGAAAAAAATGGAAAAAAATGGTGATGTTCACAAAAATCCACCAGCCGGTACAACCAATCTACTTTGATTTGTACAACGAGCGGGGGCGGAGTCTCTTCTTCACGAAGCTCCTCTACGTTCCACTGTACGCAGAAGTTCCTGCCAGGTATCCTAAAGAGAAATCCCTATGACTGAGCATCAAAAATGAGAATCGTATGACCAAGAGAAATGGGGAACCAAAAAGAAATGTGTATACACACCCAAAAGATCTTAGCATATCTTAGCATGTACATCCCATTCTCATATTAATATAATACACCATAGATCTATTTGTTTGCTATTTATTTATCTATTGAACTATATGTTGACAGATGTTTTTTCCAGTTGTTAATACCACCTTTGATGCATATCCAGGAAGGATTCAATGTTGAAAGGCTGTCATTGCCACTGGCTGAGTTCCCATCTTTCCCATCTTCCAAGGTCAACGCCTCATAGAGAGCTATGAGTGATTTCAGGTACCTGAATTCGTCCAGAAAAAGTCTGTGGTCTTTACTGTTTCAGTAAGTAGCACCCCAGTTGAACTAATAATAACTATTGTAGATTACTCACTGATCGTGGTACTATTGTAGATTACTCACTAATTGTTGAACCACTAATAATAACTGGGGTACTAATAGTAACTATTCTGGGATTGTAGATGATTGTGGATCATCCCCACACTGGGTAGGACAACACATCAATTCAGGCAATGGCCGGCAAATCCTCCCCTATTGGAGATGTCATACAATCCTGTGCCATCTTGCTTGTAAAATCCATTCCAGTCTTGCTGCTTACACCTTAACCCAGTTCAATCCACACTTTTGTTGGTTTTCAAAACCCCACTGCCCCTTCGTATTGTTCATTATTCTTCCTTCTTCTTCTTCTTCTTCGACGACGACGCAAATTACTACTATCTTCAGAAATCTTGATTTTGTGGTTGACATTAAAAGTTTTGTTAGTCAAATCACCATTTTTTGATTCTCATGTCATTATTCTCGTGAAAATCAAATGTTCGCTGCTGCAATTCCCTTCAATACCTGGTAGTCAGATCGCATTTTTTTTGCAATTGCATTTTTGGAGCTGCATTTCTGGGTGTCTTTTTTTGTGCTGAAGCCTCTGTGGAAATCCAACCTGGTCAAATCACCTTTCCTCCTGAAATCCAACCTTTTGCTCCGTCAAACCTCTGCCGTGAAAAAAATCCCACCCCAGATGCTCCATGTATGGAATATTTACCTACATTTGGGCAATTTTTGTGGTAAATGTAGGCAAATATTCCATACATGATCATACATGGAGCATATGGGCACTGGTCAAATCACAATTTCTGGTCAAATCATGTCTGGTTGTTCGTGTTGGTCAAATCACAGCATCATGAATCTCTCCAAATTGGGCGACATTTCTCCAATTTCTGCTGGTCAAATCCCCTTTTTTTCACTGTTGGTCAAATCACCACGTTTTCTCGGGGTGAATGTATTGGAATTGGTTCTTTGTGATTTGTTTGGTTCAAATCTGTTTTTTTTGCTACATTTTGATACATTTTGCTACTGAAATCCCGGTAATTTAGATGGTCTGCCTTCTATTTCCATGGCCGCATTCCATGGCAAATTGTTACCAAAGGGTATACCCGGTATAGCGGATTCCATCCGGTTATACGACCCTTTTTATTGATTAGGTCCTCCATCCATGTTGGTTAAGTCCCAATATCCCCGCTAGTGCTGGGGCATACCCCGATTAAAACCCCTTAAATTCATGAATGTGGGTAAAACAATAATAAACCACCCATTTGGGAATGGTTTGTACCATCCATTTATGGTGAAATTGGGGATGGTTTATGGCATTGTTTTACCCGCGACTGCAGTCCCATTGTAACGAAGTTTTCTTCCAAAGGCTAACTTGCAAAGGCCAAGCCGCTGATCATCGGCCGTCGCTGCGGCCGTTTTCAAACATGCCGACAGTTCCTTTGGACTGCGACAGCCGCAGTCGGGCCATGTCACGCTAAGGCCTGGCACAGAAGGGACAGTTTATTCTTAATCATGGTTACCAACCTGATAGCCGTATATGTTAGGTGTAGGTATGTATGCGTGTAATGGAATGGAATGGAATGGAATGGAATGGAGTGGAGTGGAGTGGAGTGGAGTGGAGTGGAGTGGAGTGGAGGGTAATGTAATGTAATGTAATGTAATGTAATGTAGTGTAATGTAATGTAATGTAATGTAATGTATGTAGCGTAATGTGGTGTAATGTAGCTTAGTGTAATGTTGCGTAATGTAGTGTAATGCTGTGAACTCTTTTGTAGCGTAGCGTAGTGTAATGTACTGTAATGTAGGGTAACGCAATGTGATGTATTGCAATGTGATGTAAAGTGGTTCAGTGGAGGTTGACGACGCGAGGATCACCGCAGACTGGTAGCTGCTTTAACGTTTCGTGACGGTTGGTTTAAGTTTTATTTGAGGTTGGTTTAAAGTTTTAAAGTTTAAGTGAGGTCGGCTCAAAATTTATTTAGGGTTGGCTTAGGGTGTATTCAGGGCTGGGTTAGGTTTCATGTAGGGGTTTATTTAGGGTTGGTTTGAGGTTTATTCTGTAGTGGTCTAGGATCTATTTAGGGTTGGCTCAAGGTGTCTTTAAGGTTGGTTTAAAATTGATTTAGGGTCGGTTTAAGGCTTATTTCAGTCTAATTTAAAGTGAAATTCGAGTTGTTTTAGGGCTTATATCCGGTTTAGGGTTGGTTTAGGTTCACTTGAGGTTGGTTTAGGTTTTATTTAGGGTTGGTTTCAGATTTGTTTAGGGTTGGTTTAAGGTGTATTTAGGGTTGGTTTAGATTTGCTTGAGGTTGGTTTAGGTTTTATTTAGTTGCTGATTTATTTTGGATTGGTTTATTGTTTATTTGCGGTCTTACAGTTTGCTGCGGGTTTCCGTAGGTTTGTTTGATTCAGTGTCGTAAAACTCTTTTGAGGTTTGCGTGACTGTGGTTGTGATTGTGGTGGTGCTTGAGGTTGCGGTTGGGGTTGCCGTTGTAGCTGTGGTTTCAGTGGTTTCAGAGGTTGCTGGCAGGTGCTGTGTGTGAACTGCAGATTTGGTGGCGACGGGCGCCATGCTGGGCTGGGGTAGTCCTGAGCTCGGAAACCATAGAAACCCCTGAAACCTGGGCTGAAGAAACAATAGAAACCTTAGAAACCTTGGGAACTGTCGAAACCATAGAGACCGTAAAAACAGTAGACACAAAAAAACTTGGAAACCTTAGAAACCATCGAAACCGTGGACACCTTACATAACCATCATAGAAACCTGGGAAAACCTTAGAGACCTGAAACCTTGGTACAAGTATGTAGGTATAGGTATGTATGCATTTGGATAAATTATGAAACACTATAGTAACGTTTCCAAACTGTTTCTTTTTCATGTCCCGAGCGGTTGCTTGAAGGCATCGGCTCAACTGCACAATTACCTTTGAGACATAGCAAATAGTAGATAAGGTTTCACAAATCCCTCATATCCCACCCACCTTCACCCTCCACACCCTAGCAACTAGAGGCCTCTAGACGTTCAGAACATGTATGTTTGTTTGCTCCAATGTATGTGTGTGTGCATGTGTTTAATGCATTTCCATTTGTACGTGAGAATATGTATGTACGTATGTACGTATGTACGTATGTACGTATGTACGTATGTACGTATGTACGTATGTACGTATGTACGTACGTATGTACGTACGTATGTACGTATGTATGTATATATGCATGTATGCATGTATGCATGTATGCATGTATGCATGTATGCATGTATGCATGTATGCATGTATGCATGTATGCATGTAATGCAAGTATGCATGTAATGCATGTATGCATGTATGCATGTATGCAATGTATGCAATGTATGCAATGTATGCAATGTATGCAATGTATGCAATGTATGCAATGTATGCAATGTATGCAATGTATGTTATGTATGTGATGTATGTGATGTATGTGATGTATGTGATGTATGTGATGTATGTAATGTATGTAATGTATGTGATGTATGCAATGTATGCAATGTATGTAATGCATGTAATGTATGTAATGTATGTGATGTATGTAATGTATGTGATGTATGTAATGTATGTAATGTATGGGATGTATGTAATGTATGTAATGTATGTGATGTATGCTATGTATGTTATGTATGTTATGTATGCTATGTATGTTATGTATGTTATGTATGTGATGTATGTAATGTATGTAATGTATGCAATGTATGCAATGTATGTAATGTATGTTATGTATGTTATGTATGTCATGTATGTTATGTATGTTATGTATGTTATGTATGTAATGTATGTATGTAATGTATGTTGTATGTTATGTATGTTATGTATGTTATGGATGTTATGGATGTTATGTATGTTATGTATGTTATGTATGTTGTATATGTAATGTAATTAATGTATGTAATGTATGTAATGTATGTTATGCATGTAATGTATGTAATGTATGTAATGTATGTAATGCATGTAATGCATGTAATGCATGTAATGTATGTAATGTATGTAATGTATGTAATGTATGTAATGTATGTAATGTAATGTAATGTAATGTAACGTAATGTAATGTACTGTAATGTAATGTAATGTAATGTGTGAATGTATGTATGTATGAATGTATGTATGTATGTATGTATGTATGTATGTATGTGTGTAATGTATGTATGTATGTATGTATGTATGTATGTATGTATGTATGTATGTATGTATGTATGTATGTAATGTGAATCGGAGGTTGTCTCCCCGATTATGTTCTGGTACTTGATCTTGAAATGGGTATTTCAGTGGTGACGTCACACGGGTAGCGGCTTCAGCATGGCAGTTCTTTGTTCCGGTTCCTGCAGTGGTCTTGAGCCAAAAGGGCGATTTGACGTACCCTTTGGCTGTGGATCTTTGAGTGTTGAATTATGTGGTATTGTACAATGGTCCGTAGCCTACACTCTATTCGCACCCCCCACGCATGGCCAACTTTGTCGGCCACGCGCAAAGGAGTGTCCCTTGAAATGATCCACTACATCTGCAGCTGTTCATTTATTGAATTATGGAGAGCTAAAGTCCGTTCAGAACTTCAAATCTACATGGCGGCTTGCTACGATCTCTACCAAAAGATAAAGGTTCTGTTCACGTGCGTGTTGACACGACGTAGTCGGTGTCAAGCATTGAGGCTCATCCGATGTGGCGTAGCCAGCATGGAGTCCCACTCAAGCATGTGAATTTAAAAAAAAACAAAATACAAATATGACTATGGAACTAGAAGTTTACCTTCCCGTTCCTTCGTCGGTTGAGATGTAGACCGCTGTAGAAACTCAGCGTCTCGTGCAATGATGTTCAAAAAAATGCGTGGTTCTAAATTAGCCGGCTCAGAGCCCTCTCAGAAGTCATTCGAAATGACGTAGAGGTAAATCTCGAGCAATGATTGCATCCTCGCATCGCCAGGTTCAATCAGGACCTATGCAGAGGTCATATCGATTTATCATCTATACCCCCATCCATAGTATCCCTGTTGGTTCCAGTCTCCACCACGGTGCGAATAAGATCTTCCACCTTTTCCTTGGTCTTTTCCACCTTTCTGCGGCGGGGTTACTGGAGCTTGTTTTGGCGGAGGAGCGGCTTCAACGGTTCTCCATGTTGCTGACGATGATGCTTTCGCTTTTGACACTCTGCCCAGTGCTGGTGCTGCCTTCGGGGCTGCTTTCGATTTGCCAGCGACCGGGTTAGCACGTTCACGATCAGCAGGGACTGGGGTATCAGCAATCGCAAGTATGTGAGCGTCTGACATGTGGATGCCCCATCTTGGTCGTTGGTCATCCCGTTGCTTGATGTGGTTGTAGTCATCGATTGCATCATACAGCTTTTGGAGTAGAGGTCGTGGTAATTGTCGGCCATTTTGAAGGATCAGGTGTAAAAGTGATATTCTTCGAAGTGTGGGACGAAGAGCACACACAATGTCAACTGGGTTCAGTGTGATTGTGTCTTGAAAGTCGACGTTCCTGAAGAAATAAACAGCATTCACCCTGTATGCACCTGCAATGATTCTTCTGACCATGACGTCTTGTCGGTCAAGGGCTTCGCGGGCCGCTGTGGTCTTTCTCATCTCATCCATTGTTGTGTCACGTTTCGCCAGCTTCTCCATCTCTTCGTCATAGAAGATGTTTTGCAAGTCATCATACGTGTAGCCACATTCAAGGGTATATATGAGAAGTCGCTTGAGTACCACTGCCCCATAGTATGCATTGACGAATCCCTCTTCTCCGATGTCGTCCTTTTGTTTTGGTCGGCCGATCTCTTTGTAGAGCTCTTTCATCTGTTGTGCAGTTGGTTCAATGAGTTCACCATTTTCATCCTCGCCTAGATAAGGCACTCTTGAGTCCAGGTCCATCCTGAATTTCTGGTTCTGTTGAAAGTGTTTCCATGCCGTCTCGATGTCTTCACAGAAGTTCCGTTGGAATAGTCTGTAGATCCTGACGATATGTAATCCGATCTGCAACAGGAGGATTTTGATGAGCTCCGGCTGAGCATCTCCAATTGTGCATGGCTCGATTGGTAGGACCTTTGATCCAAACTCAATCCTCTTCATCCACTTGGGCTACTCAATCACTGCATCACGAGCTTCTCCAGCCTCATACTCTTCAATGTTGATTTCATCGACCGCTATCTCTTCATCGTCATTCTCATCGGTCGGTTTTCCTTCCTGATTGAGAAATTTGTCGACCTCATCTTGTTCTCTGAAGTCTCTTTTCTCATCATTGATGTCGCCCTTCTTCGAGGCTTGATCATCATCTCCTTCTTCTGGTTGAGGTTCTTGTTCTGGACTCTTCATGGTGACATCATCATCATCTTGCATCAGCTCGTCATCGTCACCTTCACCTGTCAAATCGATCTTCACCTCCTCCCATGCTTTCTTGACATGGTCTTTGAGATCTTCTTCTCGATGATGCGATTCGGCACTTGGTACTGTAGCCACGGTGATCTTGATTCGCTTC